CCTGTGCAGTCAGGCAGACCGGCAGTCCTGCAGCTCAGGAAGGCCTCAGCCTGGTTACCAGGCAGCTCTCTTTAAATAAATATAAAGGCCCTGGGCACTGCACCAGAACTCGGACCCAGGCCCAGCCCCCAACCTCCTGGGCCTCTGCAGTTTGGCTTCCTCCCTGGTGCGTAGGGTCTGCAATCTGTCAGTAGCCCTGATAGTGAGGGAAAATCCTCCACACTCACGCCCTCACAGAACAGAAAAGGAGTGGCCACACCCCAGAAGCAGCTTTGCAGAATCTGGAGGAAAAATATAGGAGCTGAGAGGCATTTCCTGCAATCTTCAGAGACAGCAGGACCTGGTAGTTTCTCCCCAGTGTGTGCGTTTCTGGGAACCGCTGATGGCGTCCACTGCCTCTTCTCCCGTGAACAGCAGCAAAATGTTCAATCAGATATTGCACTCCGGGCATAAAATGGCTAACGCCATGAGTGCTCCCAATTCCAAGGCCGCTGCTCCCACACAGAGCAGGTCTCAAGACCACGGCAGGGAGGGTTTTCCTTTTTAAATTACGCTGGTATCCTAGTGAATTAAGGGCTTTGCTGCTTTTGCCAGAGAGACCTGAGCCGAAGCTTCTGTACTGATGCCAAAATAAAAATCTTAATCGTGGATCCTATGTTTCATCTGAAACATGGCCACAAGACAGAACCTCCAGCCCCTTCCACCTCCCACTCGCTCACCCACCCCAGGCTGCATTTGGCTCTGGGAATAAGATATTTAAAAGGCCCTTCACGTGTTCTATTGTCTGCCTACCCCACCTCCCACCAATTTCACCAGATGCCTAACACTTGTTAGGTGTGGGGAGAGGCAGATGATGAAGTAGATGATGGTCCTGTTTTCTGAGAGAAGCTCATTCAGAAAAAAGCAGCCAAAAAGGTACAGGGACTGGGAAGCAACCCTGTAACCCTCATGTCCCTGTTTTCACCCACTTGGCTCTTGGCCTCCCCAAGAGCAGGGGGCGACTGAACCCAAGGCTTAAGAAACTTGGTGACCTCCCTGGGAAACACACACACGTGCACACACCACCCCCTCCACTTAACAAGCAAGCACCAATTCCACTGTTTTTCCTCCCAACAGGCGAGCTGGTTGGGCAGGGGCCCACTGGCTAGTGGACACGCAATATCCTGCGCCGTTGGGGCCAGCATGGACTACCACAAATCTTCGAAACAGCGACTTCAGGAAGCTTGAGGACATGCCTGTGAAACCCACCAGACGCTAAAGGTCAAATATTTCAGGATTCCAGCCGTGGGAGGTCCCTAGAGTAGCCAAATTCATACACACAGAAATGGAGCAGGAGGGCCAGGGGCAGGGCAGGAAAAGAGATGTGGCATTTAATGCTCCCATTCCATATGGGAGCTGTCTGGTGGTGACAGGTTATACACAACATGGTCAATCTCGTGGCATGTATATTTTACAATGAAGAAATAATTAGCAAAACAGAAACCTTTAGACCCTAAGAACAATGAGTGGGTAAATCAGGTGAAAGGGGTCAATGGTACTGTAGTTAGTAAAGGGCAGAATTGGACTTAGTGGTGAAATTAACGCCTAGATGCACCTGTTAATTTTAACCCTACACACCTGAAACTTACATGTTGTATGGCAATGACACTTCAAAAAATAAAATTACCAAAACACTGATTGACCTCAGGGCCCACGTTTGAGAAGTGAGCTTGACAGGCTAGCTAGCCTAACAGGGCTCGGGTGACAGCTGAGGGGTGCGCCTGCAACCCTGGAGCATGTTCCCAGCGCCGGCTTATCCACATCTGTACTCCTGCGGGTCAGCCTGCTGAGACCCCGCATCGCCATCCTTCCTGCTTATCTTGAACATAGAGTTGGAATTGGTTCCACAAACCAAGTCAAACCTTTCAGCTTCCCATTGCCTACAGAACAGCCCATCATATCTAAATTGCTTAGATTCTAGAGGGTCCATGAGCTCGTTTCACCTTACCTTCACACAGCATCACGTCCTGTTGCTTTTCTCCAGATCTGAGCTGAGCCACTCCCTTAGTTGGTTATTTATTTTTTTCAAACATCATGCTTTGGGCTTATACTTTTCTCCCTACAATTGTAATGTCCCTGTCGGGAACATCCCTATTAACGGTTTCCCAATATCCACCACGCATTTTTATTTTTTATGTTTATTTATTTATGCATACAAGAGCTGGGGTACAGGCCAGAGATGAGGGGGTGGGGGTGAGAGGCAGAGACAGAGTGGGGAACAGAACAGGCAGACTGACTGAAATACACTGCTGAGGTGAGTAGCAGGCAAGACAGGAGAGGTCTGCTGTGCCATGTGGGTTTCTCTCTGGCCGGCTGGGGATTAAACTTGTGCTGCAGAGGCTGCGGATTGGTTCATAGTGAACCAGCCAAACCCACTGCACCACCAGGGAGTCCCCTCCACCACTCATTTCTGAGGAATCTTTCCTGTTTTGAATTTATGTAAATAGAACCTTCCTAAAGGAGCAATTTGGCAGTGCGTGCCTTCTGACACAGTGGCACCACACAGCAAGCTCTTGAAAGGAAACCATCAAAGTAGCATAGTTAAGGCATCCAAATATCCTGCAAAAAAAGGTTCTTTTTTTCTTTAGATTCTGTGCATTTTATAATGGCGGGTTGCCAAGCCTGGGAGACAGGATGTACAATGGACCTGCATCTGCCCACCACCCGGCTCCGACAATTGCCAACACTCTGCTGTCTTACTTCCTCTCTCATTTCACCCAGCTCACCTTCAAGACATATTTCCCAAACTTCTGGGACTGCTGGACTCTTTTTTTAGGGCCCTGAGCAGAAAAACTCCCTGGGAAAAGCTGCCCTAAATTAAATCTGTATTATGTGCGCCAATAATTTTTAGCTCAAACCATCAAACACTGCCAAGTACTTAACTCATAGTCTCCATTTAATTAAAATTCTACATCCAAGTCACCCATTTATCTTGATGAGGAATTGTTCGGTAAGAGCTGTTCAAAGTGAGCTTTTCATGGCTGAAACAGGCTGTTGGCTTCAAGTAACCTTTGTCTCCATGGTCCTGCTTTCAGGGTTGGAGGTCTTAGAGCTTGTTTTTATTATTTCATCAGAACTTTCAAATTTACAGAAAAGTCACAAAAACTACAAAAATTCCACCCATGCACACCTCACCCGGATTCCCTAATTTGTTAATGTTTGGCCAGGCTGGCTTTATTATTCTATGGATGGATTTCCTCACACACACATACACGGAGTCATATGCCCTCCTCCCCTTGACATCAACTGAGAATAAGTTGCAGACATCAGGCTACTGATGCGCAAGTACTTTGTGTGTATGTTAAGAACAAGGACATTCATTTTTATAGACACAAAGTCAGGAAACTAATGTTGATAATTCTATGACCTAATGCGTAGGCCTTATTCAAGTTTTGCCAATTGGCTCCATGTCCTTTAGCAGATATTATTTTGGTCCAGGTTCCAGTCCAGGATGATGTGTTATATTTAGTGGAAACATCCTGAAGGAGTTGAGAAAAATGCTTCTTGAATGCACCATCTTTATAAATTGGGGTTTTTAAAAGAGGGAGCCTGCCTGTAAGCTGGAGGATAAATGGGTGTTTCTGTAGGTTCATCAGACAGCTGGAAGGCCACAGCACTCATGCAGAGCCATGAGAAATCTATCGGGATTTCTCTAGGTGGGACAGAGAAAAGGGGAGGGAGTAACCAGACCTGAAACAGAAGCCCTGTGGCCCTTGGCTCGGGCACTGAGAAGCCCTCTGAACAGAATCAGGTCACTGCTGTGCTCCTAGAAGCTGGAGAAGCAGGGGGACACGCCTACACCTGGGTGGGAAGCCCCCACAACAGTTCCATCCCTCTGTCCAAGGGATGTGAGCATTTCTGTCTAATTAGAATTTTCACCTTACAAGTGTGCTTTAAGATGATGTAGGACAGCGATAGGACAAAAATGTGGGCGCTCTGCCTGAGAAATGAGGTCAAGCAAGCAGGCAAGCGAGTACTTGAATTTAAAAACTGAATGTAGTCCTTAGTATTCTACTCAGCGCATCTGACGTGATGCCCATGAGGAGTCGCATCTGCTGGCCAGTAATCCCCATCTTGGAACAATATTACAAGGGGCCTCTCAGCCTCCCATTGCTCTTCTTGTTTTATCAAGAACCCATTAGGGGGGCCTCCCTGATGGCATAAGGGGTTAGGACGTAACCTATGACGCTAACTGCAGCCACTGCAGCACGAGTTTGATCCCCAGTCAGCCAGGGAGCAACCCACATGGTGCAGCAGACCTCTCCTGACTCGCCCACTGCTCCCCTCGGCAGTGTATTTGTCATTCTGCTTGTTCTGTTCCCCACTGTCTCAGTGAATCCTCTCACCCCCACACCTCTGGCCTGTACCCCAGTTCTTATATGCATAAATCTTTTTTTTAAATTAAAAAAAAAAAAAAAAGAACCCATTAGGAAAACCAGGTGTCGGATGACAGGACGACTGTAAACCCTGTCTGTAGAAAGAGCCTCCAAATACTCTGGCAGGTTATTTTCTATGGAATGGGACAAACTCAAAGTGCAGGTGACCAAAGACATCTTCTTGTTTAGGGATTTTTGACATTTCATTCTGGGAAGAGGAACTTGTCCTCTGTAATCTTACACAGGACCCGCACACCCAACACGGAAGGTAAAGCTGCTATACAGAGGGTTCCAGATGCTCCTCTCCCCCTCCACCCCCTGGCTCCCACTCAAGGGTGGGAGCTGCAAGAGGCCAGTAGCACCCTCACCCCGCAGCTCACAGGCCTTCACTTAGTAACAGGCCTCGTCTCCAGCAGATGGCAGCAGGAGCTCAGAAAGGGGTGCCTTTTAAATACCTGCACAAAGCCTCCAGTGCTGACTACAGAGGGGAAGTGCAAATGGCAGATGTACCTGGGGTCTCCGCCTACCCAGGCCCCAGGGCCCAGGATCCTGGGCCAGGACCTGCTGGCTGGCAAGCTCTGCCCTAAGACGCTGCTACCAGACAGTTGGAAAACTACTCATCTAACAACTTGTCCCATTTTTTGGTCCCACAGGTGGGGATACTAAGGTTCGGGTCACAAAACCTAAAAGTGAATTGGGCCCAGGTCTCCTGACTCCTCCTGCAGTACTCCTCCTGCTGCGTCACAGTAAAAGACTTCAGCACTTTGCTACTTCTGCTAGATGAAACAGGGCCAGCTGTTGGCACATAATTCATAAAGGAATGCCAGAAAACAGCAGTTCTCCCAAGGTGAAGGTGAGGAAGACAAAAGAGGAAAAACACAGACGCATCCATGCAGAGACTGTACCTACCACACCCCTAGAGACTTACACAGCTCAGGGAAGGAACGTGACCACACCAGACCCGCGAGACCAAGGGGCTGTGAAGAATCAAGCTTTATTCCTTAGTTTTTGGCACCAAAGTCAGTAATTCATGCAAAAGGTCACTTCAAGCCGCTCAAGAGCAGCAGGGGCTGCCCCCCACCCCACCACACGACATTCAGCACAGAGTAAGGTGGGGCCACCCCTCCAGCACATGCAACAGTCTTTCCACACAATCTCAACTCTTATCTGACAGCCAAGCTCTGGATGTTTGTAGTGGCTTTTGTCAGGCAAATCTATCACCATCAATAGTCAGAAGACCTAAAACTCTAGCAAGCAGTTCTCCCTTCCTCCCTCACACCCCTTACTCCACCCGGTTCACTGTGGAGGCTCGGGCCGTGTGGAATGGTGCATGCCCACCTCAAGTCAAGCTGAAAAACAAAAAGGCACTGCCCTGGCTCGCGCGCCCCCACCCAGGGCCCAACTCCAAAGGAAGAGGACGAACGGTGCTTCTTGGCCCAATGCAGTATGTGCGCAGGTCCCAGGACACCAAGCACTTTGGCGCAAGGCCTCAGCCCGGCTCCAGCAGGCCGCGCCTCTGAATTTATAATTACTGCGCAAGCTGAGAAAAGCCAAACAACTGTGACTCAGACGTGGAGGTAAGGATTTGGGCCTCAGCTGCTAAACGGATGCTTTGAAGGGGACTTTATGCGCCTTTGCTCTTTCTGGGAATTCCTCTGAACAGGAATTGGGGTGGGGGCGAGGGGGAAGTAAAAGTGGTGTGCTCACTGCAGCTAGGTGAACTGGCTGAGGTCTAGTACCTACTTTCTGAAAGATACCAGAGACAAGGAAACAAAGGGCGAAATCGAGTGCTAACCCCTCTTCTCATAATTCTTGCAAAAGCGAGAAAGGCCCATTCCCTTTGCTCTTTCATGTGGAGCCTTAAGGAGCCACAGACCTATTGAGGGACCACCTAGAGTCTGGAACCCACGCCATCTTCTCTCCTAGTCACAAGGGACGAACACATGAAATACGGCTCAGCAGAGGTCTAGATCTGACATGACTTCTCCCCAGTGAGGAGTCTGCGGTTGCTTTATTACTGCACTGCTGCAGCACCACGGAGCTGGTGCTGGGCAACCGGGAGCATCAGGAACGCCAGAAGGATGACGTCAGGAAGCCTTTGGGGACAGGAATCTCCTTGCGCTGCAAACATTTCTGGTAAAGAAAAGAGGAATTCTCTGGTAACACTGCTTCCAAGCCTTAACAGTTGGGAGGGACTGACGGGCAGCAAGTCCTGGCCCTGCGGGACAGTGGATGAGGAAGGCAAGGCCAGCAGGACAGCCAGGGCTGTGGACACCGAGTGCCAATGTGCAGGCCACCACGCCCGCAGTGCCCTGGCCTCCAGCAGCAGGACCTCGCCTTCGCCATCATGACTTTCCCAGTTGGGCTACTGGGAATTGGAGGTCAGTGCACTGTCTGGGTAGACCTACCACGTGTTCTAAGCTGTCAAAACTAACCCCTTCAAGTTTTCTGGCGCTTGGAAATAGGGGAGGAGCCTGGCTGCAGGGGCAGTGTGTTCACTGAGCACAGTGCCCACTTACCCGCCCCAGGCCTGAGACAGGGGGGCGCTGTGGCCAACATGCAAACAGCTATGGGTGAGATATCTCATGCATCACCTCGGATCACCCCCCACAGGCAGTTTGGAGAATGGCATCTGGCAAGATGATGAAATGGCAGCCAGAGGGTTAAGGGGAAATCACTGACAAGCTAGGTTTGGAAAAATCAGGGCACCCAGAGGGCCAAGCCTGGCCAATACAGGCCCACAAGGCCATGAGAGCGGGGGCGTGTCGGGCTAGGGGTCTCTCACCTCCAAGAACTGCTTGAGGCGAATGAAGGAGCCCATCTGTCCTGAGCTTGTGATGGCTTCAATCCTACAGGGAGAGAAAGAAGACACGAGTCATACCCCTCTTCCGGAGAGGAGTCAGGGTCGCAGCTGATCTGAAGCGAAGCAGCAGATCCATGACTCAAGGAGCCGTCTTCTAGATAAGGGTTCTGTCCCTTCCTCCAAATGGCCTTGACCTTTTCAACAGGGGGATGAGGGAGGAGAGAGCGCTGTTTCCCACCCCCCAAGGTGTCTGTGGGCAGGTGGGATGGGTGCCATGGCTTGAGAAGAACCCTAGGAACTCAGCGGTGACTGTCACCAGAGTCAAGGGAACTCCTGACTGACTGTGGGGCACAGCTCCTGGTCTCCTGAATGGCTGTACGTAATCACCAGCCGAAATTACGAGAGGGCGTTCGGAAGAATTCAACACCAGGTGTCTGAATCCAACATCTCTCTAGTTTGTTTTTCATTCCTCTGAGATACTGTGTTTACTGAAATATCAAAGAGGAGCAAGGTGGGCGATCCTAACACACTTAATTCAGGGGCTGTTAGCTGAGTCAAACCAGCAAGTAACAGCATCCGAGGGTGTCCGATGTCAGGGGTGTACCTATCAAACACCCTGGCGCCCGCTCAACAGTTCTAGTACCTGGGGAAGTAATGCTCTTTGATGAGAAGTATCATCTTCCAGAACTGGGCCTGGTACTGCCTCATGAGGGCATTCCCACACACCTAGAGGGAGAGGCACGGTCAGAGCAGAGAACAGAAATTCACACTCAGAAGGCACAAGCAGCCTTTGGCCCTGCATTCCTATCACGCATTTCAGTCACAAGGCCACTAGCCAGCTAACTGAGGGAAGAAAGAGAAAAAGTCAATTTTCTTCTGAAAATATCTCCGCGTATTCAGAGTATTAGGTAGCCAGGTGTTCCGGAAAACCAGGAAATGTAATCCAACTTAATGAACTACTGGCCTATCTCAGAGATATCGTGGGTGTGGTCCCAGCTCAGCACAATAAAGCAAGCATCACAATGAAGCCACACAGATGTGCATGTGAAAGGTGTTTGTACCATACTATTACGTGTACAGTAGCCTTTGTCTATATAACAACGATATACTTTAAAAATACTTTATTGCTCAGAAATGTTAACCCTCATCAGAACCTTCAGTGAATCATGTTTTTTGCTGGTGGAGGGTCTTGTGGAAAAAAAAAAAAATGCAATATTTACAAAGTACAATAGTACAAGGTACACTTGTATTCTTTGAGTCTCCGGGATGGAAACCTTTTCAAGGGTCTGGCACACCCCTCCACCTTAGCAAGACAAGTGCACAGAGGACCACTTGTGTTCTCATCAACTCAGAGTCACTGCTCATCTATTGTGACTTCAGGAGCTGCTAAGGTGACTAGAAATGACTGGCACTATAGGACTATGGTCCCAGATTTGTCACGGCATGTGCGCGGAGCCTTTCCACAGAAATCCTTAGCCTCATCACACAGTGGTGGACCCTCAGAGGACGAGAGGACTATGTGGGGCCTTCTGGAAGGGGGAGATAGCCGACTCAAGCCGGCTAAGCAGCCATTTTTTCCTGGGAATTAGGAATCACAGCGGTGGGACCCCAGCCCCGCTGCACGGGGTGGCTGCATGAGGCTGAGTGACATAGACAGGAAGGCCATTCTTTTTCCCTTTTCCCCACTCCAGCAATTCAACGGGCAGGGAATTCAAGAAAGTGGCCTAAGAAAGCAGAATGAGACAACTTGCAGAAGAAGTAGACATGAAAGACCCTGTAGCCCGAGGGACTGTCTTGGAACCTGGTGACTCCCAGTTCTGAGCCTGGGGTCCTCCCCCGCTCTCATAGCACAGCCTACCCCCGGTTCTAGGGGTTCGACCTACAGCCCCAGAATAATTTCCCTTTTCGCTTGGGCTACAAGGAGATGACAGCCACACAGGGTAAGTGGGAAGAAAACTCAAACACTAGGAATTGTCCTAGAGCTAAGGAAAAAATGCAAGCCCCTGGGTCCTGCTGCCAGGCACCAACAGCTCCTGACTGTGCTACTTCCCCTTCTGTCACACTGGGGCCCATTCTGCTCTGACCACTGCTCTCCCTCATGATAACTGCATCACATACCTCCAAGAAGTCAAAGAGGAGGGTGGCTGTCACATCTGACAGGGGCTCCATGTTCAAGATCTGTGCCAGCCAGCGCCAGCCATGATTTAAGCCATGAGGGTGAGCCTGGGGGGAGACAGGCGTGGTCATGAGGAAGCCCAAGTCTATTTCTGTTTCCCTCACCGACTTGGGACCGAGTAAGGGTCTCACTGTGTTCGGAGCCCTCCCATCCACTGGTCACTACATGGACACAACCCTCCAGACCACCCAAACGGAGCACATGCTGGGGCAGAAACAACACAGGCCCGATGAATCCTGTGGTCAAGTGCTCCACCACACTGGTGTCCACACACTTTACCGGGACCCTTCAACACAGTGTCGGGGTCCCCTGGGCCAACAGTTCCTCTTACAGATGCTTTGTTGTTCTTGATGCCCGTAGCACAGAACCTTGCACACAATAGGTACATAATAAAAATGTGTGGGCTCAGGCAACTTATATTCCTTTCTCTTTAGGTCTCCAAGTCCCTTAACTTCTCATCCTCTGATCTGTATTCTTTGAAAAGAACCAGACTGGCAAGTCAAGCCCTGGCCCAGTCACGGCTCTGTCACTGGCGCTTGCTGGGCCATGTGTGAACTAAGATGTGCCATCCAGATGGCATAAGGCCCCAACTAAGTCTAATGTGACAATTTCTCACTCCTCTTCAAATAACATCTTGGAACCTTAACGACTGATTGATAACAGACTCCGTGATGGACTCTGATAAACTCAGTTCTTTGCAGTCTCAGCAGAGTCGGTCTTTGAACAAATGCCTCTGACGAGCCCAAGTTTCCCGGGCACCAACGCCGGCTTCTAAGAGCATCTGCACAGCGACCCGTCCTGTCACCACATGGCCTCCCTGGGAGACAGCTGCTATTTCCCGAGGCCAGAGTCTGGCCTGCCCTCTTTTTAGCCACAGGGGCCTTGTCTACTACCAGCTGTCGGTTTCCATACGGCCACCGGAGCTGGATGATGGCAGCGTAGAGGCGGATCATCCCAGACATGCGTTTCAGAAAGTTGTCCTGCTGTTCCACTTTGGAGTCCTTCACTTGGTAACCAAGCTTCCTGCACGGGAGCAAAGTCAGTGTAAAAAGGCCGAAGTGAGGGTGACGGGTCAGAGCTTACAATATTGGCTAAAAGCAACAAGGTACTCCTAGAATATGTTATCACTGACGTCTAATTTGCAAAAACCTTTGCTGACAAAGCACTCCTACCCATCATCAAATCTGTGTTCACATACAGCCCCGCAAGATAAACCCCCAGGAGGTAACCGAGGTCATCACCACCTTTTCCAGATAAGGAAAATGATGATCGAAAAGCTAAGTGATTTCACCCATTTCTGCAAAGCAATTAAATGACAAAACTGGGATAAAATCCCAACACCCCTGGACTCTAGATCCTGTGTTCTTTCCAGAAAGCTATATTGATTATTGGTACCTAAACCCACAAATTCCAAAAACTGTCCAGTTTTGCATGAAAGACGTATTCTCTGGTAGAACATTCAAGGGACAAATGAGAGGCTGTAAGAGGAAGCCCAAGTCTATTTCTGTTTCCCTCACCGACTTGGGACCGAGTAAGGAGAAAAACAACTTCACCTTTGATAGTCTTCCAAGGCCATTCCCTCCTTGAAAGCTGGATAGAAAGGCACGGAGTAAGGACACTTCTTGTGCAGATGAGCAAGAATGAGGTCCCCCACTCTGGGGTGCAGCTCCCAGATCCCAGACGCCACCACTGCAATGGGGAACGCGGCTTCATGATGGGAGGCCACCTCCTCCTCTCCTTGTTTCTAGAACACAGAGAGGTTGGTAAGTTTAAGTTGACACCGGAGAAAGGCTCAAATGTTGAGCACCAGACTCTTCTTTCCAAACCTCTAGACCAGGTTTCTCACCACAAATTTCTCTGCCAGTTTGTACTGGACAAAGTCCAGGCCCTGGGGATTGAGCGTGACGGACACGGAGTGGCCTCCAGATTGAACAGTCTTCCCAGAGAGCAGGCTGTGGATCTTGTCAAAGATCTCCTTCAGCTTCGAGCCTGGGTGTGATGGGAAAGTCAGTTAACAGCTGGAAGTGCAGAACAATCCATTTTCCCTCCATGTAAGAACAAGGTGCAAATCTGCAAATCCAGGTGTGATGCCCTCAGAGTTCAGAGCCGAAAACCAAAATAATGATGCAGAGAAACATGACAAACACATAGGATGTGGGGGCTTGAAAGCGTTAAGACACATCACCACTGCAACTGAATTCCTGTGAATGGACTAAATCTGAAACTGACACAGAAAACGGTGATAGATGCTGATTTGCCTCAGGTTCCTGGGGCTACTGGAGTCATTAGCCTCTCTAGGAAATCTTTTATATATATTTTTTATTTTTGTGTAGAAGAACTAGGGTATAGGCCAGAGGTGCAGTGGGTGAGAAGATTGACCAGCAAGAGTAGGGAACACAACGGGCAGATTGAAATACACTGCTAAAGGGAGCAGCAGGCGAGACAGGAGAGGTCTGCTGTGCCATATGTGGGTCAGCAACCTGGCCAGGGATCAAACTCAGGCCATAGAGGTGACAGTGCTGAAACTCAACCACTAGGCCACCAGGGAGGCCGCTCTAGGAAAAATCTTTTAAAGGAACTTCCCTACTCACAGTGATTTCCCCCCTACTCAGGGGTCTGTCTTCCTCCATCCTCAGAGACACAGAAGGGGGTTCCTAAATACTAAATTAATACTGTTAGGTAGCCAAGAGTCAAGCTGAGTCTACCAGCTCAGGCCAGTCCTTCCAGTGGGGGGCGCGGTGCATACAGGCAGAGCAGCAGAGGGACAAGAAAAGGGTCCTCAAGTACCTGCTCCCGGGGCTAGTCCCACTCCTGCCAGGGTGTTCAGTGAGTCCCCACTATGTTTAGGACAGATGCCCCCTTTTGGCATAAACTGCTGTGAACTGGTGTCCATGACTTGCAATCAAAGCTTAAGTGAATACAGCATCTCCTGTTTAGAAACACCCTGTCAAGTTCCAACTCACTTTAGGAAATGTTACAAAAATCTCTAAAATATCTTCTCCAAATGCTGTTTCATTAAAAAAAAAAAAAAAAAATTCAAGTGCTTTTCTTAGGGAGAAAAGTAGGAAGAAATATTCACACATGAAACAAAACAGAGACTCAAGCATTCAGGAGACCTGACAGTAGGTACACTCCCTTACGAAAACACCCAGTAGGTACACTCCCTTACGAAAACACCCAGTAGGTACACTCCCTTACGAAAACACCCAGTAGGTACACTCCCTTACGAAAACACCCAGCTTCCCTTCCTGCGACCTCACTCTTACACTTGGCTGATTTCAAAGGCTCACGGGCTGAATTCCCATCCAGTTCCTTCCTCCCGGCCTCCTGGTTAGGAGTCAGCTCCCAACTCTGCCTGTCTCGGCCTCCACCCACACCTGCCCCACCAGCACCATTCCCACATTGCCCGTCTGCTCCCAGTCTAGCTTCCCAGGGACAGCCAGCTGGAAAGACGCAGCCGTGAGCGCCCCTCTTCCTCAGTCATGCAGCATCTGGTGAGTATTTACTCTAGAACGTGTATGCCTGGCTGGACGGTAAGTGCGACAAGGGCTGACGCTGATGATGCAGACAGAGGATCACAGGTGGGAAGTAGGCAGAAAAATGAAGCCCAGCACAGTCAAGCCTAACGAGGTGTGGAGAAGGAGAGGCAGCAGGCATGGGACTGCAGGCGTCCAGCTCTCAAGTGGCCGGTAGGAAGGCGCGCGACCCACCACGCAACGAGGACAGGAGGAAAGTGGCATCGGGAAGCTGTGTTCAGATCTGAACACATGAAACTTGAGGTGTCTGAGAGACACATGGGCAGGGATGTCCGCCAGGGTGCTGGGCTCGGAGGAAAGGGCTGAACTAGATGGAGATGGACCTGTGTACAGGTGAGGTCTGAGGGGTGCACAGAATGAGAACTGGGGGTGAAAGGGGGCCTCCACCGACATCTGAGGTGGGACAGGAGACTGAAGAGCCCATAAGGAGAGAGGGAGAAGGAGCGCCACGGAGGGGCAGCTCCACGGAAGCCAAACAGGTGGAGGCTCATAAAGAAGGAAAACGATCACAGCGCCGAGTAGAAACGGAGGAAGACCGGAAAGTGCCTCGTAGACAAGGAATCAAGGAATCATTTTCGGATGTGACCCCAGCATATTTAAAGGCAAAGGAGTCTGTATAAGAGTCATTTTGCAGGCAGCGCAGAGAAGGGTGATAGGTGACAAGGCACGGTCTTGAAGGAGGGGAGGGAGGGGAGCAGAGGAGGAAGGGTAAACACGGGCCGGGAGGCGACCTCGGCCCCTGAGCAGGAGACCAAGAGGTAAACATGGGGTTGGAGGGCGGCACCTGGGGAGCGCACGCCTGACTGCTCCAGTTTCCTGACAAAGGACACGAGGCCGCCTGCGGTCAGCTGAGGATAAGCTGAGGAGGATGAAGGTGTAGGATGGCTCCCAATGCTGCTGCCATCAAAGGAAACCTGCTTAGAAAGTGATACCTGTTTATTTATTTACACCTGGCCCTGTCCTAGAAAGAATTTCAGGTCGCAAGCTGACAGGTAAGTTCTGACAGAGCCTCTCGGGCAGGACCTGAGACCTTCCTATGCTTCTGAGGCGACAGCAAGTCAGTGGGGAGGACCGGAGCCCTGCCGAGCGGGACAGCCCCGGCCTCCTGGCAGCACAGACAGGCATTTGGAGGCGTCCTCATCTAGAGTTGGATAAACACGAACCTCTGTTTGAAAGAAGAGGAGGAAGGGTCTCTCCCACCTGTTTCTCACTCTCTAGATCTCAGTGTCTGAAGAGAAAAAGGACAGGTCTGAGAGATTCAAGGCAGGCTTCAAGTTTGGAAAAGCGGATGCTGTGTAAGTCATCAGGCTCCCCTTGGGGTGTTTCCAGCACTAACATTCAACTTCAGCTAAGAGCCACCTGAGTAGCTTACTACTAGCTTGTAACTTAAGGTGTGAGTGAAGACACATGATTACCTTGTGTCTGCTGAAGGGGAAGCCAAGAAGCAAATATGCAAACAGGACACACGTCCCCTACACATGGCCGACCCAACTGTCAACACTTGTTCAGAGTTTATGGGAACCTGACGGATAAGTAGATTTGGAGTCAAAAAATAATAAATGAAGAGGAGAGACATGCGCTCCAACCTGCAATGGTGGAGATCTGGCTCACGGGGATGGTGGCTGCCTTCTGGAGGTCCATCTTTATCTTTTTGGTCTGCCAAAAGAGAACAGTAAGAAGACAGTGATTTGAAAGATGCCATTAGGGTAAGGGAAGGTGACACTCAATGATGTTCCCTTGGGACACGAGGCTGCTGAGGGCACTGCCAGGCCAGTGCACTCCTGTCTGAAGCACATCCCCACCTGGCTGTCTTTGCTGTTGGTCAGTCCCTCGAAGGCCCTCACGCACTGACTGCCTGCCTCCTGCAGCTGCTGGTACCACTGCATCGTGCTGTCTTGCACCTTCACCTGCAGGTCTGGGGGTAACAGAGAAGCCGGAGCTCGCTGAACACTCAGGAGCCAGGCCTAAACGCACTTGTATTTTGTGCACATTGATTTAAAACACTCAGTAAAATACTCAGTAGCGGCAACGCTTAGTAAAATATTTACTCGAATTACATAGAATTTCAAGTCTTCATGGAAAGTGTTGGACTCTGAAGTCAGGCTCCACCTCAGCCAACACTGATCTGATAGCATGCAAAGTTCTGGGAAGCTGTCCTGTAGCTTAGCATCACATTCAGAACACATCCTTGTCTCTTTTCACATTCTGGAAGGAACACCAGTTTAAAGGACTGTATCCAGACCAAACCCACCTTCATTCTGTTTTCCTCCTGGGCCCAGGCTGGCAGCCAGGGACTCTTTGCGGTCCTCTGGCCGCTGCTGCATCTGTGCTTCCCGAAGCTTCGCCTGGGCCTCCTCTTCGTTCCGCCTCCGCTTCTCCTCAGAGGCCCTGGCAAGCTCCTGCTGCAGGCTAGCCAGGAGGTCCCGCATTTCCTGCAGTACCCGCTCAGCCACAGCCTGGTCTTCCACTGTGGGACAGCCGTTCTGTCAGTGACACAGAGCTCAGAGGTTACTGCACAGGCGGCTGCAGCACACCTCACACAAGTCTACACATTTCTAGAACTGGAATCGCTGTGCCAATAGAGTACCCACACTCAACGTGCTGATTAATTGTTGTGCTCCTGTTCTCTGCCAGGTGATACCAACTCATCAACCACAGCCAAAGTGTCTGAGCACAGACAACGCTGGCTGGAATGTGTGTTAAACTAGTGACAGTGGTCTAGATAAAAATGGGACTGTGTTTACGAGTCCCATATATATAAGCCCCAACTTTATTTTTTTAAGTTTTATTTATTTATGCATACAAGAGCTGGGGCATAGGCCAGAGGTATGGGGGTGTGAGAGGACTCACCAGAGACAGCGTGGGGAGCAGAACAGGCGGATTGACTGAAATACATTGAGGGGAACAGCAGGCAAGACAGGAGAGGTCTGCTGCACCATGTGGGTCAGCTCCCTGGCCGGGGATCGAACTCGTGCTGCAGTGGCTGCGGATAGCTTCATAGTGCTGAGACTTAACCCCTTGCGCCACCAGGGAGGCTCCTCAAACCCCTAACTTCTTAACGATAGTTAAAAAACAAACAAACTCATTCATCCCTGCAGGAGAATGCTAGAACAGTGACTCATTATTCCAAAAATGAAAGGAAGCAAACATTTATCTTTCCTCCCTTACCTAGACTGTAGCTATTGACCTCAAGATCAATAGCTTAAGAGGAAATTTCTTTGTAGCACAATTTCAGGTAATAAATATAGACAGGAAGGTAGGATCAGAAAAATTCAAAATTCATCGCCCCTGGTGAAGCATCAGATAAAAGCACCATCAGCGGGTCTCCCCGGTGGCGCAGCGGTTGAGCGCTGGGTTGCGAAGCTGCCCACAGCCTCTGCAGCGCAGGTTCGATCCCCGGCTGCTCCCCGGCCACTGGAGGAGGGTCCCACATGGCGTGCAGACCTCTCCTGCTACCCGCTGCTCCCCTCAGCAGTGTCCTTCGGTCCTTCTGCCTGCTCTGCTCCCCGCTCTGGCTCTGGTGAATTCTCTCACCCTCCCGCGCTTCTGACTGTGCCCAGTGCATGTATAAACAAAACAAACAAACAAACAAACAAACAAACAAATAAATAAAAACATGCCTCTATAAAAAAAAAAAAAAAAAAAAAAAAAAAGCACCATCAGCAATAGCTACTGCCCAGCAGCAAGAGGTTTGCAGGGCGCTCTTGGGCGAAGCCGAGGGTGACTACACCGGAAGCCACTGGCCATTTTCACCTCCAAATGGGAAGACAATCAGGTACCGCATGCCTGCTGGCGTGATGCAGTAACCAGGACCTGTCACTGACCATGAAGCACATGTCCCTTCTCCCACGTATGAGCCTAACCAAGCCTCCAGGCCTGTGCTGTCTGGTCATGTGGTCACATGGCACAAAATCAGAAAACAATTTTGCTCCTGAAGTTCTGCATTTCTAAGGCAGTCTCAGAGAGTCCTTCTGAAGTGTCCTCACCTCAGAAGTGGTCCGAATGATCCCCGAGATGAGGCCACAAAGCTGGTTGCCTCGGGTCTGGAAGGCGGACAGGTCGACTTTCAGCAGGTCCCTGTGCTGCTCGGAGGAGTCAAGCTGCTGGCTCAGGTGCAGCACCTCCTCCTGCAGGGCGTACAGGCCACGGAGGCGGGCCTGGCCCTCTTCCTTTCGCAGCCGCTCCTGCTCCACCTGCTTGAGGCGCTGCTGCTCCGCCTCCCTCAGCTTCAGGTTGAGAATCTACACAGAGCTGCCGGGTTAGCCCTCTTGGCGGGGGTCCTGGGCCCCCCTATGTTCCTCCAGTCCTATGAGGGCTCCACATTTTCAAGGATGGGCCCAGAGCAGGAAGAGGGCTGGCCAGGCCGGGCCCGTCAGCCAGACACAGAAACCCCCACACAGTCCCAGGCTCTGACCTTCGCTCTGTGACGATGCTCAGCTTTTAGCTTCTCCTGGTGGCCCAGGGCTTCTTTGGAGCTGAATGGGGGAAAAAGTGGCCAGAGGACTAGTCAGGGATGCTTCCTAGACTGATTTACCTCCCCTAAAAGCCTTTCTCCTCCTGCACCACAGAGGCCATTTATCGAGGCTAGTCATTTGTAAGTTACGAGTGCCTCTGGCTACTTTGCTAAAGACTCAGAGGTTCAGCGCTTTCCCCTTGGGTTTCCCAATGGAAAAGTCCCAGTGGCCCACGCTGACATTCCTGCTCAGAACTCAGGGAGACTTACCTCTTCTCCATCACTTCCCGTAGGTCCTGGAATTCCTTATGCTGCTTCAGCTCTTTCCGCTCATCAAACCGCTTCAACTGTTCCGACGCCATCTCAGAGAGGGCGTGCACCTTCCTCTCCTGCTCCTCCCGCCACTGCCGCAAGCCCTCCTGAAAGGACCCACACGCCCTCTGGAGCTCACTACTGCCTCGCCCAGGAGAGCCGGCCCGACACTCGTGGGCACAGACCCATTCCTTGCTTCTCAGAACCTTTGCTCAATCACCTCTTCCCTCTGGGCTGTCTTGGACAGCTCTTCCGCTCTGTCACAGAGTTTGTCACTCCAGCTAGGCACGGAGTAGACAGACATTTACGACATAGGATCAAACAGCCCTGTCCTTCGCTTCCATCCTGTATATCCTTCCAAAGGTTTCAGGACAATCTACAGAATGGAAGAGTTAGGCCAAAAGCCGAATTTGAAAGTTGGAGAGCTCACTGACTGTTCCCTCAGGCTGTGTCTGCAGCCGAGGCAGGTGGGACATGGTGCCTGGCTCATGGTGGGCATTCCCATCCCCGAGAAAGCGCACTTAAGCACCGCTCCCCAGGTTCAAGCCAGCCTTCCTTCGCAGCCACTTACCATTCCTTTCATTCTGTGCACCAGCTCATACATTCGGATGCAGCCTTCCACTTTAACCCCCCGGGAGGACTGAAGAGCCAGGGTGTCTGTGTGCTGGGATTCATGTTTGCCCTACACGGAGAGAAGATGGAAGAATCAAGCTTTTCAGATGGCAAAACCCCATCCCCCGATGAACACCAGTCAAGAACAAGAGGAGAGTGCAGGTAAGACCGTGGGCTTTTCATGACAGCACCTTGTTCTGTTTTCCTTGATAAATCTTGGTGCTTTGGGGTTGGGTTTTGTTTGCTTTCGTCTTGTTTGCTTTCCTCTGTCTGTCCACTTTTCACCCAGGTCCCCCTCAATCGAAACATCTTGCATGAATATAGTGAAATATAAAAAACAGCGCACTGACACTGGCCCAATTCACAGAATGTGTTCAAATTTCACCAGTTTTACTGGCAGACTGACCAAAACACACTGCTGAGGGGAGCAGTGGGTGAGACAGGAGAGGTCAGCCTCGCCATGTGGGTTTCTTCCTGGCCAGCCGGGGATCGAACTCGTGCTGCAGAGGCTGCGGATTGCTTCATAGTGCGGTGCTTAACTCCATGCGCTACCAGGGAGGCCTTAAAAATACTTTCTAATATGAAAAAAAAAATCTCTTCAGGATAAGTCTCCTTGCACTATCTTTATTTTATTATTTTTTAAAGATTTATTTATTTATGCATACAAGAACTGGGGTACAGGCCAGAGGCACAGGAGATGAGAGGATTCACCAGAGACAGAGCGGGGAACAGAACAGGCAGACTGACTGAAATATACTGCTGAGGGGAGCAATGGGCAAATCAGGAGAGGTCTGCCCTGCCATGTGGGTTTCTCCCTGGCTGGCCCGGAATTGAAGCCGCGCTGCAGAGGCTGCGGAAAGCTTCAGAGGGTGGCGTTCAACCCGCTGTGCCACCGGGGTAGCCCTAGAAAGGATTTATTTTTTTTTTTTAAGTATTTTTTTTTATAGAGGCATTTTCTTTTTATTTATTATTTGTTTGTTTGTTTGTTTGTTTTGTTTATACATGCACTGGGTACAGTCAGAAGCGCGGGAGGGTGAGAGAATTCACCAGAGCCAGAGCGGGGAGCAGAGCAGGCAGAAGGACCAAGTACACTGCTGAGGGGAGCAGCGGGCGGCAGGAGAGGTCTGCGCGCCATGTGGGACCCTCCTCCGGTGGCCGGGGAGCAGCCGGGGATCGAACCGGCGCCGCAGAGGCCGCGGGCAGCTTTGCAACCCAGCGCTCAACAGCTGCACCACCGGGGAGGCCCACCCTAGAAAGGATTTAAATGCAGCTTACACAGGGGCATAAAATGTCACAAACATAAATTAAAGTCATAAAATATGGTTTTAAAAACCAGGCATATAGAGACACAAAGATATAGTGGAAAAAATGAACAAGGTACCCATCAGTACATGCTATCATCTTGGTTTTTAAAGTACCTCTGGAAGTACACCTCCAAAAAAGAGAAAGGGAAAACACCTACCAGTAACAACATAACCATTTTTACAAAGGTGGGTACAAGAGCCAATAAAGGAAAACACAACAAAGATTTCCAAAAACTTCAGAGCAAGGGCCTCCCTGGTGGTACAGCAGGTTGATTGCAGCGCTGTGAAGCTGTCCGCAGCCTCAGCAGTGCGTGTTTGAATCCTGGCCGACCAGGGCGATTCCCACATGGTGCGACAGATCTCTCCTGTCTCACCTGCTGCTCCCCTCAGCAGTGTATTTCAGTCAGTGTGCCTGTTCCATTCCCCGTTTTATCTCTGGTGAATCCTCTCACCCTCCTGCACCTCTGGCTTGTAACACAGCTCTTGTATAAAAATAAATATAATTTTAAAAATATATATATTTATTTATACAAGCACTGGGTACAGTCAGAAGCGCGAGAGGGTGAGAGAATTCACCAGAGCCAGAGCAGGGAGCAGAACAGGCAGAAGGACCGAAGTACACTGCTGAGGGGAGCAGCAGGCATGCCAGGAGAGGTCTGCGCGCCATGTGGGTCCCTCCTCTGGTGGCCGGGGAGCAGCCGGGGATCAAACCGGCGCTGCAGAGGCTGCGGGCAGCTTCACAGCCCAGCACTCAACCACTGCGCCACCAGGGGAGGCCCTAAAAATAAATAAATCTTAAAAAAAAAAAAAAAAAAAAAACTTCAGAGCAAGTATACATTTTACTGTAGACTCTGCACCACCAACACAAAAAGGGTAACTTGGGCCTCCCTGGTGGCGCAGGTGTTGAATGCTGCACTGTGAAGCTGTCTGCAGCCTCTGCATCGTGGGTTCGATCCCAGCTGGCCAGCGAGAATCCCACATGATGCAGTAGACCTCTCCTGTCTCGCCCACTGCTCCCTCAGCAGTGTGTTTCTTCACTCTGCCTGTTCTTTTGTTCCCCGCTGTCTCCGGTAAATCCTCTCACCCTCCCGCGCATCTGGCCTATACCCGGTTCTTGTATAAAAATAATTAAATCTTGGGGCCTCCCTGGTGGCGCACGGGTTAAGACACAACCTATGAAGCAAACCGCAGCCACTGCAGCATGAGTTTGATCCCCGTCCAGGGAGAAACTCACATGGTGCAGCAGACCTCTCCTGTCTCGCCCGCTGCTCCGTTCAGCAGTGTATTTCAGACAGTCTGCCTGTTCTGTTCTCTACTTTCTCTGGTGACTCCTCTCACCCCCCACACCTCTGGCCTGTACCCACGTTCTTGTATGATTAAATAAATAAACCTTTTCAAATAAATAAATCTTTAAAAAAAAAAGGGTAACTTTACAAGTTAAATAGGCACATGTTCACGAGAAAATCAATCCAATCATTCATTAAATTAATTTCTTTTCTTGGCATCAAGGATCAGGAGAATGTCTCTCCCTGGGTCTTCTTAAAGAGAACTCTGAGTGATGCAGCCAACACTATCTCTATAAACAGCTACAAGCAGCAAGCACTCTTTTCCCAGGATAAGGCCACTGTCACTTTCCAAACTTAAACCCTTCAATTTTGCAGCCACAGTTGCCTATTGCATACACTGATTAAAAACCTTACCTTGGTTCCATCAGGTGTTACCAAGGAGACTGGTGAGGAGGCAGGGTTTCTGCGGGGAGATGTAGGAACAAAGGAAGGCTGATCTAGGCTTGAAGTTGATCTAGAAGAGGTCGAAGTCTCAGAGGCAGGTGGGTTCTCTTGTGTGTGGGGTAAGACATGATCTACCACCCATCCAGAGTAAGAGGACAGCTTGGGAAGAGACATACATTCTTCTAAAACATCCTAGAAAGAAGAGAAGTCCAACTTGTATGTCAACTGATGTAAGCAATGAAAAATAATTGTATCTGGATAAAATTCCCTATATAAAAGTAAATAAATAAAATAAAATCACTTAAATGACTGAGTGAAAATCTAAAAGAAATCCTAAGTAAACAAATAGCAAAGACCCAAAGTCACAATAACAACGAGAGCTGACCCAAAGCTGCAAATCTAAAACATAAAACAATACTTATGAAAAGAGCCATAAACAGAGAAAAAAATTTCTACTGACCAAAAAAGGCAATATATTTCATAGGGTTATTATTACCTCTAACATACAAGAACTTGTAAAGGTTCAGGGGGGAAAGACACTAAAACTCCAATAAATTGGGCCTCCCCTGGTGGCGCAGCAGTTGAGCACTGGGCTGCGAAGCTGCCCGCAGCCTCTGCAACGCAAGTTCAATCCCCCGCCGGCAAGGGTCCTACATGGCATGCAGACCTCTCCTGCCGTGCCCGCTGCTCCCCTCAGCAGTATATTTCGTCAGTCTGCCTGTTCTGTTCCCCGCTCTGGCTCTGGTGAATTCTCTCACCCTCCTGTGCTTCTGACTATACCCAGTGCTTGTATAAATAAATAAATAAATCTTCAAAAAAATAAAAAATGAAACTCCAATAAAAAATTAGAAAAATACATTTAGGCAATTTACAAATAAAGATCTAACTTTGGTTCTTGAATAATGAAAAGATACTCAACTTCAATCAAGAGTGACCTGCATTGTAAAGTTACAATGAAATCTCTTCCTAGCTTACTAAGCAAGCAAAATGTAAAGTATAATAATACATCCTGTTGAGAAGGCTGTGGGGGGCAAACAGCCACCATCATTGCTGACTGGAAGGCAAACTGGTACAGCTGTTGACCAGGACTTTGGCAAGAAGTAAAAATACATCTATGCTTACCTTCTAGCCCAACGATCTCACTTTCAGGAGTTTATTCCAAAGACACATTGCTCATAAAATAAAGGTACATTCTCATAAGATTACAGGGTAATAGATTACAACTCTTGAATAAAATAGAAACCCCAGAATCTTTAAATATGAAGACATAAAAGAAAGGAAGCAAGTTCTTCCTCACAACAGAATACCTATGAAGGAAAAGTAAGAAGAACGCTGGCTGTGAAGAAATGCCATTTTGCACATCACATAGGTGACTGACTTAGGTCAAAAGGCATCAATGAATGCGAGGTTTGATGGGAAAAAATGGCACTGGTGTGATCTTGGTTATCTCCCTATCAAATACTAATGAATTGCAACGGGGAAAATGATGAACTATAAGCAGTTATTTGACAGATCCCAGTGAGGTCTGGTGATCACCAGGGTGGGGATGGGCTGACATCAGTGTGCTTCCTGATGTGACTTTCCCAGAATACAACATCATTTTGTGGTCTTCCTGCCAAGAACGCATATCTTGCTAGGATTCATGCTACAGAATATAAGGCAAGTATTCTTCAAATGTGTCCAATATGAGAGAAATGCTTTAGAACCATTTCACACAGAAGCCTGATGAGAAAAGGACATCATATCTGCAGCTGAGTTACTTGCAATTCGGGAACAGGAGCTACACCTTAACCCCTCCCTACCCTATTAGACCCTGCTAGTCTAATAGAGCTTTGCACTAGCTGGGTGCAGAGTCCACGCCCCCATTCAACTTTCCAGGCCCGCCCAGCGCCATCTGATAAAGTGGTCTTTTCACTGTCAGCACAGACAGGTTCGGTCATTTTTTAAGACGTGTCAACGGCCTTTACTGGCTGCAACTGGAAGTGGGGGGCCAGGGGAGTGACAGCGCAGCTCTGGCTCCTGGGGAGGTTCCAAAGGGTGGGTCGTGGCTCTCGGAAAGAGGTTGTTCTTGTGAATCGTGCATCGCTCAATCGGTTCTCCTAGCACAAAACCGAGCACTGGAGACGCGCCAGGGACTAACCGACCTGGGGGGCCGGGGGCTCTGGCAGCCCAGGCGGAGGCGCCCAACTCTGGCTGGGGGGGGGTGGCAATGAAGCCTTGGGAGCAAAGAGCGCCTATGGCGCGAGGGGCCCTCCCGGACGGCTAGAACGGGCTCAGAGCGCACACACCCTGGGCCAGGAGGCTGCACACACAGGAGTCGGGAAACAAAAGCGGGTTGTCGGGAAGAACGCGCGGGGTCCCGGCGCCGCGCGCGCCCAGGGCTGGGGCCTGCAGGGTGGCGCCGCGAGCGGGAGGACCTCCGGCCCCGGGGTCGCCGCTCACCTCGCCCCGCTGCAGCCAGTCGCGGTGGTAGCACAGACGACCCTTGTCAGAAGTGCGCAGCGCCTGGAGGGTGTCCCAGCAGCGGCCCTCGGAAGGCATGGCCGGCGCGGCGGCAGCCCCTCCGCGAGGCCGCTAGAGACTCCACAAGTCCTCGAATCCGCCGCCCGGAAACGGGCGCCCGCTTCCGCTTCCGGGGCGCGCACGCAGCCGCGCAGCACAGCCCCGCCCCAACGGCTGCGTGGCCCCGCCTCCGGCGCCGCGCCCGCCGCCAGCGCGCCTGCGCGCCGGTTGTGTCCTGCGCCTTCCTGCCCGGCAGGGGGCGCTCGACGGCGGGGCGCGTCCATGAACCAGCGTGCGGGCCGCCTCCGATGCGGCCGCGGCTGCGGCGGGCAGTTCCTCGAAGGTGACAGTTACCGCTGACCCAGCGCCCGAGGGAAATGCAATGTGCGCCCCTGGCGGCCTTACTGACAACCAAAAGGTGGCAACCCGAGGGCCATCCCCCCACGCACGCCCAGCTGGGACCCCACCGCGGAACACTAGCTCGAAAAGTGGGGTGCAAACGCGAGTCCTGACGTTGATGAGCCCCGAAAACATGCTAAGTAAAAAGACATCCACAAAATTTACACACATGTGAAATGTCCGGCGTGACAAATCCAGAGACAGACTTTATTAAGGGTTTCCAGGGGCCGGAGGAGGACCTGGGGAGCGGCTGCTAATGGGAATGTGCCACAATTAGCTAATGGTGCTGGAGCTACGACTTCGTGAAGATACTAAAAACGACTTAACGCTCTACTCTGCAGGGGTGGATGTTATGGTACATCGGTGATACCTTAATAATACCTAGCTAGAAGTCTTCATCTTTTGACCCTTCTTTTGCCCATGTCACGGGATCTGTTTGAGGCGGGAAGGAGTCTTCTCGGTGTTTGAAGCAATAAATTTTTTCATTTTTTGACTTTTTTACAAACATTCTCAAATTTTTGTAATGAAGGATTTTACAAAGAATAATAGAGGCTTGTCGAGAGTCCCAGCAAGGGAGTAAGGCATTTCCCAGGTGAGTGTGATAAAGAGCAGCACCCTGCACTGAGGCGGCTTTGGTAACCTGAGGAAAATGGCTCACACAAATATGTCCCTACCCTGGGGTAGTCGGCCAACTCCCTTTGCAGGGATGGCCTTTATGCGTTGTAAGGTCGAGTCCATTCCTGTGAAGGGCATAAAAAAAGGCTTGGTTTTGTGGCAATGGCAGCTGGTCATTTTGTTTTTGCAACTACAGGTCACCGTGATTTGGGGAGGGAGTTTTCTGGTGGTGAAATGCAGATGCGTGGGTGGGGTCCATTGCCTCAAGGACCTAGGAAATCCTCTCGCAACCCAGCGCTCAACCGCTGTGCCACCGAGGAGGCCCCGAGAACCAAATACTCTTATTCAGAAACCAATGAACATTTCATCAACAGTAATACACGCACTTCCGTCTTCCTCCTGACCCCTAAGGTGGTCAGCCCCCAAAGCCCTGAGCGACGCCAACCCAGTGAGTTTCCTCAGTCATGTCACAGGACTGAGTGCGCAAAAAAGAACCAAGGTGGGCCTACACAAAATAAAAAACCACACATTCCAGGCACCATGTACTTTAAAATATTTATTGGCTCTCCAGCTGCATTTTTCTTAATTTTTAAAGAAGGATGGGGACATCCAATGGGGCTTTAAATATGGATTATAAAAGCTTTTTGTAAAACAACACGAAAATATCAAGAATAAATGCATTCTATAGCTACAGATAAGGCGAGGAAACGAGGCGGGGTATACTGTTCAAAGGCCAGCTGGACATGAGCCCCCCAGTGTCTATTGTGAAGTGCTTGGGGGTCAGGGGCCTCAAAGGAACTTGGGCACCAGAGTTCCCACTGTGCTCAGGAGGGGGGACTGGGGAAAGCACCGTACCCATGAAATAAGAAAAAGAGCAAGCAAACGAGCCCACAGCCCGGGAGGCTAACAGTGTCTGCTGCCTCAGATCAGAGAAGACCCAGGAGAGGGGTTCCTAAAAAGAGGGCTGGAGGGAACTGGAGGAAAAATCCAGTCCGTACATCCTCTCAAGGGTGTGTTAAAATTGGGCCCTGACCACCAGTAGAGGTAAGGCCTGTTGAGGTGATTAGAAACTTCCATCAGGCCACAACATCAGAAAAGAGAGAACCAAGAAGTCCCTGCTTCACCACTGCTGCTTCAGGGACTTGTCTGGAGTCAGTAGCCAAGGAAAGATCCTGAACATACTCCATCACTGGAAGAGAGAGAAGACAGGCTTTCCGGGAATGGCTTGGCCACTCCTCAGTCCCCATGGCATCATTTGAGCTCCTGGACCTGGAGTGAGCCTTAGGCCGGAGGCGACCGGGAGCGGACAGGAGAGCTGGTCAGGAAAGTGGTGTAGGGCCCGTCCCCAAACACATTGGCATAGGACGACTTGAGGAACTGGACGTAGTTCTGCATGCTGCGGTTGGTGCTCTCCGACTGCTCCAGGCGATCCTTCAGGTCCTGCAGGCGGCTCTGGTAGCGGCGGTCAGCCTGGGAGGAGGGCCAGAGGGGTAGCTGAGCTCAGAGCCACAGGCTTCATTAGTGGTTGCCGAGGGCAGGAAGGGCGCAGAGAAGCAGGAATGACTTGACGGGTAAGGGTTTCTTTCTAAAACGATTCTAAGAGCAATGAGGACAACAGAGGCCAATGGCAGTGTCTCCACCGCCTGCCCTCTGTGCCGGTGGCCATGACACCCACAGGCAGTGGCCCACTGGCTTGTCCTCAGTCACACTGTGACGCTTCATGCCCGGGACAAGCATGCCAAGAAGGGCATTCCCAGGGAGAGCGTCAGTATTTTTAAGAGCAAATAATCTGTGAACCATGACAATATTGGGGCTTAAATGAGAGCAAATACCATCCTGTGTACTTTAAGATACACTTGCTAGTATAAAACAGTGACAGGCCTTCCTAGTATAAAACAGGAACAGGTCATGTGAAGATACTAAAGCTAGAAATGAACCAGAAAGTTCAGAGAATCACTATGTTATTTTTTTTAACAGTTACATTGAACTCATCTGATTACAATGAAGAGTTAATTGCACGGTAATGACAAAACCAACCTTAGACTAGTGATGACTGCACAGCTCGCAGGGGCACTAACACCACTGAATTATACAATCTAAAGGGGTGGAACTGTAGGGATGGTATATGGATGGTAACGGTCGTTTAAAAAGAGAAGTGGGGGAGATCTGCCCAAGAGATCCATGAGAGCTGGGAAAGTGACCAGAGGAAAAGGAAGCCATCCACCGTCATAAGCAAAGCGCCCCGCCCCACAGGCCCAAGGAGTTAGCAGCTCAACCCAGCCACCTCTCCTGCCTCACTCACATCCTCTCTGCTCCGCCGCAGCTGGCTGAGTTCAGTCTTGGTCCTGCTCAGCTGGGTCTCAAGGTCCAGGATTTTGTTCTGGGCGGCTCGCTCCTTGGAGACCGCATGCTCCTTGGTTTGCTCCGCCTGCAGGAAGACACAGGTGAGGCTGGCGTACCTGATGAAGCACTGGGCCGAGCAGGCCGGGCCACGCCCTGTTCTCCGGGTCTGGCAGACCACACCTGTGCGGGCTGTGGCGCGTTCTCTGGAGCTTCAGGGCAGGAGCTAGCTATGGGGCTACCTGTGCACCACAGCTTTACCTGCCCTCTTCCAAAGCCCATGCATCATTAAGTGGCGGTCGCCTGGCTCAACCCCACACAGCTAGTGAGAAATAAGTGATGTGAGTCAAGTGCTGAGTCCTTTACGACAATTGCTTATTTGATCTTACCCTCTTGCCAGAATTCTGGGGGGGCTGCTGCTGCTACATGTCCATTTTTCAGGCGGTGACTAGGCTGAGAGAGATGATTCGCCCAAGGCCACAGAACTCACCAGTCACGGAACTGAGACCCACCTGCCTCCTGGCGTCCTCAATGGCGCTCTCCAACTGCCTCGCCAGGGATCCACACTCCCGTGTCTTCTCCTCCAGCCGCACCTGGGCCTGGTGGATTGCCTCCTCCCTCTTGGCAATCACCTGTAGGAACTCGATATTCTGGGCGCTGGTCGCCTCCAGTTTCCTAGGTGAAAACGCTCAATCAGGTCATGCTCATCCCCGACCTGTCTTGTTCCACCCACCAGGAAGGACCGGCCAGCCAGGTGCCAGCCCGCCCGCCCTCGGCTGGGGGTCTCCTCACACCGAGAATCTCCAAGGAGCCACAGGAATAAACCAAAGCCATCTGCAGATGAGCACGGCAGCAAGGAGCATGCGGCTGAAGCGGCGGGTTAGAGCTGTACGCAGAGCAGGAAGAGCAAGCCCGAGTGAGCGAGGCCGGACTACGTGCACCTGTCACCTGCGAGACGGCACCTGGCAGCTCGGGAAGGCGGGCACCATTGTCACCCCCATTTACGGAGGAAGGAGCTTAGGCACAGATGTCATTGGCCCAAGGTCAGCAGAGCTAGAAGGTCTGTCGCCAGAACCCCTGCCCTCAACTGCTGCTGCTCACTGCCCCCTCCCTTAGCAAGGGGACTGACTGCAGCTGGAGCACATCTGGAGCGACCGCCCCATAGTCACACACCAACTCACTGCCCTTCCAGAACACCTTCTGAGGAGCTCTGCCTGTCCCGCTGAGGCTAGCTGCATGCGAGCCAGTAGAGCGGGGTGGAGCCAGGAGATCCCCAGTCTCAAGTTCCTGCCTGCAGGCTGCCTGCACCACCTGGAGCAGTGGGCGGCTCCTAAGGCCTCCGGCCTTTCACTTCAGACTGGGGCTCTGGCCCTTGTTTCACCGATGCTAAAACGTCTGAAGGATGAGTCAGGAGTCTAAGGTGCAGTTTTGCCAGGTACCAGCGATATGACCTTCAGCAAGTCACTTAACCTCCCCGCAAGCTGTTTCCTGGTATTCAAAGGGGAAACTACCATCAGGGCGTGCATGTCTGCAGGTCGGGTAGTGTGCTGACCTCTTTAAGGAGTTTAACTCACTGCGGACTCACAATAATGTGAGCTAGCTTGTCAGCCTACCATGATCCCAAGGTGACAGAATGGCGGTTCAAAAGGGTTAAGTGATTTGCTCAAGAGCACAGTGCAGGTCAGGTGGTCAAGCAGGGGCCCAAGGCCAAGGCTGCTGATTGCCTTCTGACTCTTCCCTCTCACTGCCTCCGGCAGCCCAGAAGTAGCAGGGGGTCAGATCAGAGAGGTCTTGGGGAAGGATAATCAGAAGCATATTGTGAGCACTGGCCCTGTTGGCTGGCTAGAAGGGGCTCCTTTCTATAGGTGGTCTGGTGTAGCTCGCAGTCCTGGGCGGGTCCCGGCTGAGACCACGACCTCTCCCTCGATGCTTACCACTGCCACGGAGGCGGCTTTTCCTCTGAGGGCTGCCTAGTGCCTCCCAGGGCCCTGAGGCCCTCACGCACTTGCACGCACTCTGCCCAAAGCAGCTAAGTGGCTGAAAGTCTCAGGGCCTAGGGAGAGGACAGAGATGGGACCAAGTGCCTCTAACCTCTCCAGTTCATCCACCTTCAGACTCAGCTGTTTATTTTCCTTCTGGGAAGCCTGATGTTTTTCTCTCGCCATCTCCAGCTTGTCCCCCTGATGTTCGATCTAAAATGACAGGAACGCAGAACTGGTTTACGAAGACACTGGTTTCGCGGCACGGCCCTCCCTTCTCCCTGTGACCTGTCATCCACACCCAGCAAGAGGCACGCAGCCCTCCGCAGGCATCAAGTCTCAGCGCACAGCCTGGAGGAGAAAGGAGAGCAGGGACAGGTTAAGACCGCGTCCCAGATGGAAGGCTTCCCCACAGAGCAGCTGATCAGATGCCGAAGAACCGCAGTGATGCTTTTCTTGATCGAGAGAGGCCGCTCAGTGGCCGGCGGGGATCCGGGGCAGACAACAGGCAGCAGCTGCTCAAGGCCTAGCTGGCCCATCCCACACACCCTGGAGCTCTAGCCAGGGTGTTGTGGTGGTGCTGATTTCCTTCTCCCAGTGACTGAGGACAAGTGCAGGCCAAGCAAGAGGAAATCTAGCAGGTCATTCACACTGGCAGGTTTGAGAAGTTATCCACAGGGCTGCCTTACACAGGAGCCTCTGGGATCCAGGCTCAAGAGGCCCTAAGAATGTGTGGGTTCAAGAAAAGGCAGTAGGTGATTTAAGCTCTGAGATCCTGGGCTCGGGGACCAGAGAGAAGGGCTGGGCTGCAATCCCGTGTGCCAGGTATTAGCTCGGTGACCTCAGGAAATCCTCCCCACTGCCCGGGCTGCCTCCTGTAACAGGGAGAAGGTATCACCTACACCTCGTGCCCCTAGGAGAGCAGCAAGCAAGAACGCTAGTGCATGCGCGCGCACACAGGCTCTGTTCTTATTATAATGAGGAAGCAAGTCAAAGGGGAAGGGCCTGGCCCAATATCACGCTGCCAACGAGAGCCCTGTCATTTCTCAGGTACCGTAGGCATGGATCCAGGAAGGGGAGCCCCCTTTCGGGACACAGTCTCAGGCGATGAGTCTGTGAAGAGTAGAACAAAGCAGCTCAAGCAAGAGAAAGATGGAAGAAAAGAAAACCTAGGGCTCGGTGTCTGCTGGCATCTCCATCTGTGGGGGCGAGGTTGAGGCCGCAGGGGAGCGAGAAGGGCCGGGCAGCAGGCAGAGAGGGAGAGCAGGGCGGGCGGCAGCAGGAGGGCTACTGCTCCAGTCGCGGGGCGGCTCCTAGGACTACAATCACTTTGTGCGAACACGAGGCATTTGGCACACCAGACTTTTATTTCACAGCACTGATGATAGCTCACTCCTTTCAGAAAGCGGCAGCCAAGATAAAGGAAGTGGTCCTCCCTTGGGGGTGTGCGGCTCATCTTGGTAAGCGGGCCCCTGCTCGGGCCAGTTCGTGGGACCCTTTCTGCCAGTCCCTTACCCGGCTGCGCAGGTCTGAGATGATGGCTGTGAGGTCAATGTTCTTCCTCTCATAGCCTTGCAGCTGGTCTTGGCACTCTGCCAGCTTGGCCTCTGTGATCTTGAGGATGTCGGGCAGCTGCTGTAGGTCAGCCAACTGGGACTGGAACTGCCTACGTGCCTGCAGGGGGGACAGAAGCCCACTGTTGGCGAGGGCCACGCAGCGTCCTCGGATCCAGGTAAGGATCCTGCCAGATCCACAGGCAGAAGTGCCACCTGCCCTCCCTGCAGGCTACCGAGGGTATCCAGCTGTTCTCTGGACACTTGGCCAGGACTCGCCACTTGAGCTGCTGCTCCTTTAGTCACCAGATAACAGCGGCATCCACGTGGCAAACACCAGGACGCAGGCCTGATGCTGAGGACTCTACGATTTACTCATTTAATTCAAACCACCAGAACTGCTATCGCTCCCATATGAGGCTACTGAGGATCAAAGGGTCATCAACCCAAGGTCATCCAGCTAGGCAACCACGAGCCCCAAGGTCAGAGGGAAAGGTGGAACTGTCTGTTCTTAGTCCATCCCTGTACTAGCAAGGAGATGGAGCACCTGAGGGAGCAGGAGCCGGTCAAGGGTAGATGACACATAGTAGTTGAACCTGGCCTGACCAATCTCCAAGGCCACTACTAAGAGGGCCCCTTTGCTTCTGGATGGCAAACCATCTCTTTGAAGGAGACAGGAGGCACATATTTTTTGGTTAACATAATAAAGACTCCACACAGAAAGGATAAGAACGCCTGAGACCTGCTACCTGTGGCGCTGAATCCACTGGGATGCTCCCAAGCAGGGGAGATTTTTTAGGAAATCAGAGAATGAAGAAAATCAGGAGAAAGAGGGATAAAGTAGCAGCACGAAAGAGATGAGTGGCCCAGTCCTGCCACAAGCAAATCCATTCCTTTTCCTTGCCCAATTAGGGAGGGTCAAAGGCAAATCAGACAGACAGACAGACAGACAGAGGTGGGACAAGGCAGGGGAAGGCAGCGAGGGGGGAGTGGTACCGCTTCAATTTCTTTGTTCATCTCATCTTTAAGGATCTTGTTTTCTTTGTCACAGCGCTCCAGCTGGGCAGCCACTTCATCAGCTTCCAATCTGGTCTTCATCACCTACAGACCAACAGGGCATTGTGACATGGGCAGAGCCCACCCTACCTGGAGAAAACTCAGGGATCCTCTCCCCCTGTCAGGGAGAGGCATGGTCCAGACAGAGCGGGGCAGGACCCTACCTGACTCTTATAGTTGTCAATCAGCCCCTCATAGTTCTTCACCGACGCCTTCAGCTGCTGGACCTCGATGTGTGCCTGATTGAGTTTGTCCTCCATCGGGGCGAAGCTCGCCTAGAAGGGATGGTGAGTGAGTGAACCACTCGGGGGTGGCAGCAAAGGGAGCCCCACCTACTCAGAGCTCCAGGACAAGGCTCCTCACGGGGTAGCTCTGGAGAATACAGACATACTAAGCAGCTCCTGTGTGTTCTGCATGCACGAGCACCGAAGAGGCATCACATAATCATTGAAGAAAATGGAGACAGACCAAGAAAAACAAATCGTGATCAATGGTGCCGTCACATGCAGCCACCTTCCTTTTGTAATTGCCTTTTTCAGTTAACACTTAGGTTGTAAAAAGAAATCATCTTGTGAACTTCTCAAGTCAATAAATGTCCTCCTCCAACCCAAATGTTCATGGGACAAAACACGTCATAGGATCTCCAGAAAATAATACAGCCACTTAAAAGAAAGCAAGCTCAAAACAGAACTGACCTAAGAAGACACCCATGGATGTGGCTGAATAAGAAAAGCCAGCGCAGAGAATGGATGGGTATTTGAACACGTATGGCAGTGTTGGGAAAAAACACTAGAGAAATACACAGCCACAGTTAACATTTGGAGCTGTAGGTCACATCTACATCCCATTTCTGTAACATGTTAAACTTTTACTTTGAGTCAATTCCATCTTTGTAATTATTGTATTGCGTGGATGTATGGTATGTAGCCAATCCGGTATGCAGCTATTTTTAAATTGTTACTATTTAGCTACAATACATGAGATATTAATACATTCCCATGAGAGTATATGAGACAATGAAAAAGAGACGACAATACCAAGTGTTTACAAGGAGACCTGGTGCAACTATTAACGCACTCCCCCCCCCTCCCCCTCTGCCACGGGAATGTAACATCTCCCAAAGCTGAACTTACATACACCACCACCCTATGACCCGGCAATCATTCAAGATTTTAGACTATCAAACACACCAAATATGTGCACCAAAGAATGCACAAAAATGTTCTATAATCCAAATGTTCATCTATGCCAAAAATAAATACTGTGGCATTGCCATGCAGTGATGCACTGGGGAGGAATAATCTGCCACACACACACCATGGACAGTTTTCACAAACATCATGCCAGGTAAAAGCCAGACACAAAGGTCAAAAACAGGCAAGTTAAGGCTGGCCTAGTGGGGAGTCTCAGTTAAGTCTCAGTGCTACCACTACAATGGCCCACTGAGACGGCATGAGTTCGCGCCCCAGCCAGGGCACAAACAGACCTCTCCTGTCTCACCCGCTGCTCCCCTCAGCAATTATTTCAGTAGATCTGCCTGTTCTGCTCCCCACTCTGTCTCTAATGATTCCTCTCAACCACCCCCCTGCACCTCTGGCCTACACCCCAGTTCTTAAATGCATAAATAAATAAAAACAAATCTTTTTTTTTAAAGATTTATTTTTTATTTATACAATAGCTGGGGTAAAGGCCAGAAGCGCGGGAGGGTGAGAGGATTCACCAGAGACAAGAGTGGGGAGCAGACCAGGCAGACGGACCAAAAGCACTGCTGAAGGGAGCAGTGGGCACAACAGGAGAGGTCTGCCACACCATGTGGGAATCTCCCTGGCTTGCCGGGAATTGAGCCCGCACTGCAAAGACTGTGGATAGCTTCACAGCGCTCAACCCGCTGTGCCACCAGGGAGGCCCTAAAAATAAATCTTTAAATAAAAAAAAACTTACAATAAAGGAATAATTCTTAAAAAAAAAAAAAAAAAAACCCAAAAATAAACAGGTAAGCTAATCTGGAGCGATAGAAGTAAGGATAACAGTCACCTCTGCAGATGTTTGTAAACGGGTAGTGATGGAGTGCTGGTAAGGTTCAATCAGGGTGACCAATAGACAATGTGTGTTCGTTTATGTACCCTTCTGTATGTTATACTTCCTTAAAATCAATATTATTTAACAAACAAAAATCAGTAAAAAATAAACCTAGATGTTACTGCCTGGGTCAATTAAAAACCAGGATCAAACCTGGCTCTGAAATGTCAACTTCTGTTAACCCCTGAGGTGCTGGGAGCATGAACAGTGAGTGATTATTAAGAGCCAGGGTTCCAGAGTCAGACTCAGATTCAAATCCTAATTCCAACACTATCAAGGGCAAACTCTGGGCAAGAAACTTGACCTCTTTCAAATTGCCTGTTTCCTTATCCTATAAAGATTATTGGAAGGGGGCCTCCCTGGTGGCGCAAGGGGTTAAGACGCAGCCTATGAAGCTAACCGCAGGCACCACAGCCACCACAGCACCAGTTTGATCCCCGGCCAGGGAGCAACCCACATGGCACAGCAGACCTCTCCTGACTCGCCCACTGCTCCCCTCAGGGGTGTATTTCAGCTGGTCTGCCTGTTCTGTACCCCACCCTATCTCTGGTGGATCCTCTCACCGCCTGTACCTCTGGCCTGTACCCCAGTTCTTGTATGCATAGATAATTCTTCAAAAAAAAAAAGATTAGGCCTCCCCTGGTGGCACAGCAGTTGAGCGCTGGGCTGTGAAGCTGCCCACAGCCTCTGCAGCGCCGGTTCAATCCCCAGCCGCTGATGAGGATCCCACATTGCGCGCAGATCTCTCCTGCCGCCCGCTGCTCCCCTCAGCAGTGTATTTTGTCAGTCTGCCTGTTCTATTCCCAGCTCTGGCTCTGTGAATTCTCTCACCCTCCCGCGCTTCTGACTGTACCCAGTGCTTGTATAAATAACTAAATAAATCTTAAAAAAAATTTAATTAAAAAAAAAAAAAGATTATTGGGAGGGTAAAGTGAGAATCCGTGTATGCAAAGGGAGCTAGCAGTTCAAGAGAGTCAATTTTAACCTCCAGGTCAGGCCCACATCAGGTGTGTGGACCTAGTGGGTAGACACATGGTACATGTCACCACATTCACACCAAGACCCCATTCCCTCCCAGCAACAAAGGATAATTGTCCCATTCCCACCCTAAGAGGCAGAGTTAAGACTTGAACCTGGGCTTTTCTGACCCCAGAGCACGCCCTCCTAACCATGCTGCTGGCTCCAGGCCCTCCCAAGACCCACATGGTCATGGCTGGGGCCCAACCAGGAGTGCCCGTCACTGGCCTCTCCGCTCTCCACCCAACTGTCCTGGCCTCCAATATAACACAGACCTTCAGTCTCTCGTTCTCTAGTTTGAATGCAGAATACTCAGCAGTCTGGCGGTGTAGTCTCTCTACCAGGCTGTCCCGGTCTTCCCGCATCTTCTCCTCCAAGCTTTGCTGTTGGTTCACGAGGTCTGTCACCCGGCTAGAAGGTTGCAAAGTGAAAGCAGACAGAATCAATTACAGAGGTTCTGAGGAGTCCAGGTCTTAGTGCAGAGTGGGGTCAAGAGTTCCCACCCAGGGCCTCTCTGGTGGTACAAGGGCTCTATCAGGGTATCCACAGCCACTGCAGCATGAGTTCAATCCCCAAAAAGGGAGCTGACTCACATGGCGCAGTAGACCCCTCCTATCTCGCTTGCTGCTCGCCTCAGCATGTATTTCAGTAGACCCGCCTGCTCTGCTCCCTACTGTCTCTGGTGAGTCCTCTCACACCCCTGTACTTCTGGCCTGCACCCCAGTTCTTGTATGCATAAATAAATAAACCTTTAAAAAGTCACTTTGGGCCTCTCCTGGTGGCACAGCCGTTAAGCGATGGGCTGCAAAGCTGCCCGCAGTCTCTGCAGCACTGGTTTGATCCCCAGCTGCCAGGGAGGGTCCCACATGGCGCAACAGACCTCTCCTGCCACGCCCGCTGCTCCCCTCAGCAGTGTGTTTCGTCGGTCTGCCTGTTCTGCTCCCCGCTCTGGCTCTGGTGAATTCTCTCACCCTCCCATGCTTCTGACTGTACCCAGTGCTTGTATAAATAAATAAATAAATCTTTAAAATATATATATATATATAAAAAAAAAGTCACTTTATCAGGGAAGACATTCCTGAACGGGGACCAAGTTAACCGCACCAGTGATCAGTCCTCTGTCCAGGAGTATGGCTTTCTGGCTGCCCCGCCTCCTCTCCAAAGCACAGGGTTAACTACCCAGGGCAGGGGGTGCATTTGTCTTTTCACTGCTGTAGCCATAAAGGCCACCACTTAGCCTGGTAGGTAGCAGATGCATGATATTTTCATTTTTTTTTTAAAGAGTATTTATTTATTCATACAAGCACTGGGTACAGTCAGACGCACGGGAAGGTGAGAGAATTCGCCAGAGCCAGAGCAGGGAGCAGAGCAGGCAGACTGACGAAGTACACTGCTGAGGGGAGCAGCGGGCGCGGCAGGAGAGGTCTGTGCGCCATGTGGGACCCTCGCCGGTGGCCGGGGATCGAACTGGCGCTGCAGAGGCTGCGGGCAGCTTCGCAGCCCAGCGCTCAACTGCTGCGGCACCAGGGAGGCCCTTGTGATATTTTCAAATGAAGGGACACGTGAACATGGCCGACACTGGCAATGTCTGAGTGGTCGCTGCTGCTGGTTCACCAGTGGCAGGAGAGGTTGCGACTCAAGGTCAGCTTGTCCCTACTCCCACACCATCTCTCTGACCTCCTGACTGCGTGTGAGCCACACAGCTGCTCAGACTGGGCAGACAACACGGAGGACATGCAGATCACCAGCGGCCACAGAATGAGGACGCCACTGTGCCTGTTCCACACTGGCCAGACAAGGACCAGGTTCAGGCCTCGTGAGCAGTGCAGCCGGGCCTGTCCACAGGGCTGCCAGGCAGGTAGCCCCTAGGCCTAGGGCGGGAGCCTGCACCCGCACCAACTAGAAAGATCTGCCGCCTACATCTCAGCCCAGAGGCGCCCCTGTCAGTGGAGACCACGTGACCTGCCTCAGGTCTCCAGGCCCCGCCCCCTGTACCCCCACTTCCCTCAATGGGCCCAAGAGCCCCTCTTAACACAGACATACTCATTCAGGACAATAATTTCCAGCTCGAGGTCTCCCTTGTCTTTCACTACTTGGTTGTAGCGGCTCCTCCATGATTCCAGAGTGGATAAAGCTTCTGCGACATAAAGATCCTGGAACAGAGGACAAGGCCCATGAGCACAGCAGACAGGGTCACCCGGACCACCGCTCACCCGGTGACACACGCCTCCTCCCCCACGCCCTCTAGTCAGATGGAAAGAGAGGAGAGCAGCAGGCGCATCTGTGCGTCCACAGTCACACCAACCCCATCTGCAAATCCTTCCTTAACCATCATTCCCACCGCGTGATCGACAAGATGAAATTGTCCCACAACCCCTCCCATCACCTGCAGTCGCCCTTCCACCCCACCACCATCGTCTTTTTACCCCTGGCCCCCAAATGCCCTCTTCTACCAGCTCACTGACCTTTTCCACTAGCACCTTCACTCCCTCCCCGGCAGGCAGGCCTCTTCCTTCCAGCTTTTCCCACCTCCATCCCAAGCACGTCACCACTGCCCCCCTCCTCAGGGCAGGGAGGGGAAGCCCAGGCCCACACCTTGTCAGCAAGTTGCACGTGCAGCTGCTCAGCATACTCCTCGCTCTTCTCGGCTCGCTCCTTCTGGGCTCGGATGGCCTTCTTCAAGGACTCTTTGTCTCGGTCTCCCTTTTGCTTCAGTTCCTTTAGCTGTTCCATGATGGCCTCCACCTCTGCTTTGTGCTGGTTCCCACTGCGTTCCAGGTTCTGGGGGATGAGGGTGAGGGGGTAGGTGGGGGAGGGAGGAAAGAGATAAGCAAGGCCGAGAGTGAAAGGGAGAGAGGAAAGACAGACAAGGAAAAAGGGAATGAGGAAGAGGTAGAGAGAGGAGTCATCATCACATGTGTGGGGACCTAGGACTCCCTTCACAGCCACACACCAGAGTCCTTCCTGGCTTCCCATGGCACCCCCAGGATTTCTTAACACAGATTAATGTTAGGACAGAAGTTTCTGGAATCCTTCCTTGAACTCCCAGCACAGTGGTCAGAGATATAGCTTAGTCACTCGGCAGAGAGGTGACCTGAAGGGTCCCTGGCTCACAGACACAGGAACACTGGAGACCATCCCCTCAACATGGGTGTCGAGAACTAAGGCCCTGAGGGATTCGGTATTGGCCCAGTCCCTGTGAGAAGGGCCCCAGGACCTCCTGTGCACTGCTGGCCACTGTCCCAGAGTCTCTTGGTAGCCTGAGGGCTTTGGCTGTAGCAGATCCTTCAACCTCTGGGCCACAGCCTTCCCAAGAGAGGGGGCCTTGGCCAGGCCATCGCCCTCTGGTTGCCAGGCCTCGCCCTGCCTCCCCACCGCAGGCCCAGTACACACCTTGATCTGCATGCAGAGACGGCTATTCTCTGCCTCTTTGCACCGAAGCTGTGCCTGCAAATGCCCACGCATGGACTCCATGGACTTAGAAAGCTCACTTGCGGTCTTGGCTTGAGCCTTTGTAGAGACAGAGAAAATGCTAGAGCCAACTCTGAACCCAGCACACTCTACCCGCCAAGCACTACTGGCTCACGAGGAGGAGCAAGTGGCGGGGCTGGTACCTTCTCACATTGTATTTCCTGGAGGAGCTCTTCCATCTCCTTGTCCTTGTCTTGCAGCAGTAACAGCAGGCGCTGGGGAGAACAAGGGCACCGTGAGCTCCCAGGGAAAGTGAGGCAGACCAGTCTCAGCAGACACTCTGGTAAGTGCCCAGCCACCTGGCCGAGGTGCCAAGGACATCGGCCCACATCCCAGAGACCCTGACAGGGAGCACTAATAGCTGTTTTAAATGTTTAAAATAATCAGCAATCAGCATGTGTGTAAAATTTTTTAAATAAATGGTAATTGTGGAAAACAGTGAAGAACACCCCACCCCAAGCTAGAGGAATCCCATGATCCGCGCCCAGAAATAATCCCTGCTAACAGCATTAAAAAGTCCTATGCAGGCCTCCCTGGTGGTGCAGGGGTTGAAGACATATCACTATCAAGCTATCACCAGCCACTGCAGCACAAGTTTGATCCCCGGCCAGGGAGATGACCCACATGGCGCAGCATGCTCCCCACTGCTCCCCTTAGCAGTGTATTTCAGTAGAGCCACCTGTTCTGCTCCTCAATCCTCTGTCTCTTGTGAATCCTCTCACCTCCCACACTTCCTGCCTACACCCCAATTCTGTATGCATAAATAAATCTTTAAAAGTCATGTGCACATTTTGTTTCATCACTGACAGCCTCACATTTATCCACATTTAAATCTTCTACCTCTTTTGAAACAGCCACTTGGTGTTTCAATTTCTGATGTATCATGATTGCCAGGCCTCTGAGTCAGCTGGGGATGTGGGTGTGATTAGCATTATCATCATTACCGCTGAAACGCCCACTCCCGTAGCTGTCGGCCCAGCACTGGCGGCCAACCTGGGAAACCTGGCCTCACCTTCTTTCTGCTGGACACTCACAACAGTCTGTGAGTTAGGAAAACAGCTAACTTTCTGTTCAGGCCAGCGGGGAGTTTTCAAATTTATTTCTCCATGAGTAACTGCCCCCTTTTTTTTATGCACCCATTACCATCTTGAGGAACTTAGGGATCTGGAACATGCTGACTTGGGAGAGATTCTTAGAATTGGAATGGGAGTCAAAATCCATTTACTTTACTTTTTGATGACTTTGACTCCATAAGACATTCAGGCAACAGGCTGATGATTTGAAAATCCATCATCACCATCATCATCCCCCAGATTGGTGTCCGGCTTAGCAGTGCAAGCCCGCAAGTGACCAATCAGCCCCACAAAGCAGGCAGGACAGGGGACATCAGCCTCTTGACAGATCATGAAACAGACCCAAGAAATGACCCCAGCCCCGGCTCCAGCTGGGCCAGCTCCCAGCCAGCCCCTCTCCCGGCCCTGTGGCCAGTAACTTGCTGGCGCCGGCAGGGGGCGCCCCACGCTACCGCTTTCTCCGAGTCCGCTTCCGCCAGCCGCTTTAACAGCGCTCCCTGTTGCTCCATCAGCCTGTCGGAATCCTTCAAGGGAAGGCAGAAGGAAGCGAAGTCACTAAGCAGTAAACCCACATGTCAGAAGACGCGAAGACAGAAAAAAAACAACACACCCACACATCTACATACTATTGATTCCGTTCCTGCGCCGAAAAGCCTAATTATAGAAGAAATAAATTATGTTCACCTTCTAAAATATTCAGTGAACACAGATAAAGCTAACGTGCCCTGCACTGCTGGATGAGCATCCTGCCCATCCTTTTTCTACGTATTTATACATAGCTAGAAGACTATTATCTTTCTGGGAATTGTAAGGCGTAAATATGTAATTTTAAGAAAATGGTTAAGTGTATTTTGTGCAAGAACTTAATTTTTAAGAAACACTATTGGGATGTAAATTCAGACACCATATAAATAACCCATCTATAATGTACAATTCAATCAGTTTTAAAATCGGGGTAAAATAATTATAAAAGTTGCCACTTTGGGGCCTCCCCTGGCCATGCAAGAGGTTAAGACGAAACCTGTGAAGCTATCCGCAGCCTCTGCAGCACAAGTTCAGTCCCCGGCCGGCCAGGGAGCAACCCACATGGCACAGCAGACCTCTCCTGACTCACCTGCTGCTCCCCACAGCAGTGTACTTCAGTCAATCTGCCTGTTCTGTTCCCTACTCTGTCTCCGGTGAATCCTCCCACCCCTTGCACCTTTGGCCTGTACCCCAGTTCTTGTATACATAAATTAAATATATCTTAAAAAAAAAAAACAACAACTTGCCACTTTAACCATTTTTAAGTATAAAATTCAGTGGCATTTAGTAATTCACAGTATTATACAAACATCACTACTATCTCATTCCAGAACATTCTCATCACCCTCAAAAGGAAAGTCTGTGCCTGTAAAGCATTCACCACCGCTTGTCCCCTGGCTCCACCCCTTGCATGCCCCAATCTGCTCTCAATTTCTGATGGGCCATTGCCTTTTTAACCTCTCCCCATAATGAGGTAGCTCTGGGTTTTACAACTGCAAACACTGCAGCAACAGAAATCACTGCGCATGTGCAAAATGTCTTTCTGAGTCGATACCAAGAAGGGGAATGGCTCAGCTGAAATGCCCAGCGAAAGGCCTGCACCGAATCATGCCACACAAACAGGATACCAGAGCACCAGGCAGCAGCCAACCTCCACCTGTTGCCAGTCTGCCAACACTGCAGCTAATTGCCCTTTGGTTTATCAGTCGTCTGAGATTCTTCCCTGAATGGCCTGCTTGCACCCTTGCCCGTGTCCCCACTGGGCCGTGTCTGTGGGAACCACCTCCATTCTTCTTCCCCAGCACCTGATCAAAGTGTCTCTGGCAGGTTCGCCCGCCCTTTCCCCTTTCAGTCCCACAGCCCCCACTCACAGGTCACGAGAAAAGGACTCCCTGGTCCCAAAGTCTCCCAGGGACACAAGAACTGAGAAAAGGCAGCACTGTGGCTTCTCTAATGATAAAAGTGGGCCAACATGCGACGAGAGCCCAAGCCAGGGACCCAGAGCCTGAACGCCCGTTACAGCTGTGCCCTTTCAGGATGGGGGCGGGGAAAGACTGCACAACGGTCACCGGATCTCACCAATGCCCCCACTCTAGGCACCATTGCTATCATCACCCTTCACTGTAGATGAGGAGAGAGGAGCAGCGGGGAGGAGCTGAGGTGAGAGGATCAAGATCACAGTCAGAAATGACTGACGGGGCCCTGAAGCCAATTCTGACATTAGCTCCAGAGCTAATGTCCCACCCCACCACACACTGGAAACTCCCCAGTAAACACCGAGAGGGGGTGTCACCTTCAGGCATGGAGAAGATGACAGCCGGAACTGAACCGGGGACAATCTCCAACAGGAGATTCTGGAATTCCAGGATGATAGAAATTAAGAAGTCAAAAAAGGAAAAATTTTGGGCAGGTCCCATCCCAGGACAAACAGTAGCAGCAGCCACCACGTGCCAGGCTGCATGCAGATCCTTCATCCATGTGTCGTCTCTAATTCTCACACACCCCATGGGGAAGACACTATTCCTAGTTTACAGGTAGGAGACCTGAGGCCCACAGAGCTCAAAATCACCCACCTGAGACCACCAAGCCAGAAATGAAATAGATACAATTATTTTAGAATAGTTGAGCACTAACTAGTAAATATTGATAGAAATTTGTTCTAGAAACCCTCTATTTACCCAGGGTAGGATACATCAATACCCAAAGTAACACTGCTTGTCATTGAAAATGTCTCCACCAACAAAGAATGGAGGAAGAAATTGAGGTATGGCATTCGTTGGAATATAGCAGTCAGTTAATTACCTCAGACTTTAAGGATATAATGGATGAATCTCACAAACACATCAAGAGAAAAAAGCAAACTGAAAAGAATATACTGGGACCAGCATGGTGGCGCAAGGGATTAAGACACAACCTATGAAGCTATCTGCAGCCTCTGCAGCACAAGTTCAATCCCCAGCCAGGGAGCTACCCACATGGCACAGCAGACCGCTCCTGACTCGCCCATTGCTCCCCTCAGCAGTGTATTTTAGTCATTCTGCCTGTTCTGTTCCCTGCTCTGTCTCTGGTGAGTCCTCTTACCCCTGCACCTCTGGCCTGTACCCCAGTTCTTGTATGCAAAATTCATAAATATTAAAAAAAAAAGAGAATATACGTGGAATAGAATTTATGGAAAACTTGAAAACATGCAGAACGCTACTGTGTTGCTGAGGGACACGCACAATGTTAAGAACTGTCAGACTCGAGAAGAGCAAACTCATTTCAATGGAGACACAAGAAGACAAGGTTCCCTTGGAAAGCTGGGCCGTGGGCACGGCACCTTATATCCATTTGAAGTGAATTTTTCAAAAATAAAAACAAGTTGACAAAGTCAGAAAAGAAAAAAAAAAAAAAGATGCCAAACTAAGAAAAGGCCCTCAATTCACCAGCGCTGGCAGGTCAAGACTCTTGGTATCCCTTGGGTTTGAACCCAACTGGAAGACAACTGCAGTCTTTCCATGAACTATATTTCAATGGTGACATATATCTTAAGAAGTATGAACTGAGACCCCTAAATCATATACAATGTTATAAGCCAATGTGACCTCAAAAAGATTAGAAAAACAAAAACTCCAGACATTTTAGAAGAAAATCCTGTCCTGTAAATACGTTGTCAGATGACAAAGTACCATTAACATCTGTGTCTCTCAGCATTCGTCTTCCACTCAACAAAAACCTGAGCTCTAGCATGCTCCCCATTTTGCTCTAGCACACCACCCCCACAATGGGCTGAGCTCCTGCCTGACTCCCGCCACCCTTCTCCTGACTTCCGAGCTCCCTCCTGTGACACCAGGTCCAGCTTCCACAACCAAGACTGCACCATCTACCAGGTACCAGGTACTTTATATGACTGATTTCCTTGAGTCTTTCCATGGCCCTCTCAGACCAGGCACCAAAGGCATTTGGAGACTGAGGCTGCAGAGTGAGAGAAGAAGCTGAGTGCAGAGCCCGCAGAGGGCCAGGAGCTCACCTCTTTGCAGTGCTGTTCCCTTAGCAGGTCTCGGAGGGTGCGGTTGGTCTCCTCAAATGTGCTCAGCTTCTGCAGGAGAAGTTCCTTCTGCCTCGTCAGGGTGTTGATGTCCGTGCATGTCATCTGTTTCTCCTAGAGGACAAGCAGGCATTCTTATAGAGCACAGGAGGAAGGTGGGAAGAGGTGGCTAGCCAAGGCAGGCCCCATGGGGGACTTAACAGTTGCAGGTGCCAGGAAGCCCAAAAGGGCTGGGCAGTGTCCAGGGCCCACATGGTCAAGGGTGGGCTTCCTGGAGGTGGTGAACCTGGAAGGAGGGGCAGCAGCTGAGCCGGTTGAGAGCAACACATGGAGAAAGGGACTTGGGAGCTAGTATGGGCAAGAGCAGGACAGGTGGGTAGGAGGCGTACTACACCTGGCAGTTCATCCTTGCAGGAATCAAAGGCATGCCCAGACTCACTGTGATCCCAGGAGACCCATGATGAGGTCTCCTCAGAGGCCCTGCCACCACAGGTCAATGTCAAGGGTCAGGCCCCGGAATTAGAGTAGGGAGGGGAGGCTGAAGAGTTGTGTGCCCCCCCCCCACTTGAAGATGTCATAAAGTCAGCTGATGACAGCATAGGGACCACACCCAGCTTGCGGCTGCCCCTTCAGGCCCATCCCAGGCTTGGGGGTGTTCTGCCTGCCACCTACTGTCTTCAGCTTCCCGATGGTATCTTTCAAAGCCATGACTTGCTTGGCAGCAGCTGCCCCATCCATTTCAGCCTCCACCAGTTTGGACATGAGGCACTCCTTCTCCTGCTGGAGGTGTTTCTTCTGGAGACTGGGGCCAGAGAAAACAGGGCTCTGTGAGCCCTCGTGGGCCAGGCCTGTGTCTGCCTAGAGCTCTGAGGCACGCCTCACAATGCCCCGCCAGTCTCATCTCCTGGTCAGGGGGAGTGGGGGAGGGGGAGGAACGGCCCTTCCAGCCAGCGTGACCTTCTGAAAAGATGAGGGCCAGAAATCACCTCTGTCTGGGAACCAGACAGACTCCGCCCCGTGGGGACAGTATGCCACCCAGAGCTTGCTTGTCTCTCAGGAGGCCACTATAGCACCTTGGCCCCCAGCCACGGCCACTGCCTCCTTACCACCACCTGGGATCTGCGGTAGAGCCTCCCAGCCTCCCTCCACACGAGAGCCAAGCACTCTGTGCTTTGAACAAGTCTCCATGGCTCCTCGGTGCAAAAGCCTCAAATGGCTAAGACCTGGCCCCTGCCAACCTCTCTGCACCACTTGCTGTCTGCTTTCCCCTCCCCTCCCCTGGCCCTGGCCTGTCTCCCTCAGGCTCACACCCTGGAGTCTTCACATGAGCCGCTTCCGCTCCTAGCACCATCTGCCTGATACCCAGACATCTGCAGGCCACCCCTTAAATGTCACTTTTTCCACCCTGACACCCTCCCCCCTGCACTCTGCAGGGGCGCCTTCTCCCGCCCAGTGTGAACCATGTGCCACCAGGCAGCCCCAGGTGAGACAGAGCTCCACGGTGCGGGGCCAGGGCCGGGGGCCCTTACATGGTGAAGTCTTTCTCCTCTTTGATGCGCTCGATGTTGTGTCGTAGCACGTTGTTCTCATGCTCAGTCTCGGCCAGCTCGTGGGCCACCTCCTCCAGCTCCTCCTTCCGCTCCTCCAGGAACCTTTTGGCCATCTGGCGCTCGCCCTTCTGCATCTTGACCTGTGCAGGGGCGTGCAGGCAAGGGCCACTGAGGGGGGGGACGCTGCTCTCTGCCGCATCGCTAGGCCTATTCTTTGGACCCTCTTAAGGGCACCTGGGATTGAGAGCTACATAGGTCCTTGAGGTCCTGTAGGCCACAGGCTCAGTTACTGTCACAAAGACTCTGGGTAAACACCGTTTCTCTCAGTTCCTCATGACTGGAGAAACCGAGGACAGAGCCTGAGCGACTCGCTGGCGGGGAGCAGAGTCAGGATACAAACCGTGGTCAGCTGGCACACCACAGGAGGGAAGATGTCACAAAAAGGCCCCTGCACTGCAGGCTTATGGAGAAAGAAGGGCCTGTTGCCAGGCAGCCAGCCCCAGGTTCTCCAGGAGGGCCTGCGGGCCCCAAGAGCTACGGAGGATTAAAGACACAGTCCACAGTAGCTGGTAAGACCCGGATGTCTGGGCAGCTCCACCAACTTTCTAGTCAGGGCCTTGAACTTCCAAGGTTGTTTCCGACTCCAGCACCAAATCCCACCCAGAGACGCAGCCCAGCCATAAGGACAAACTGCCTTCGCCTCCAGGTGGCTTAGAAAAAATTTTTCAGGTCAAATAGGAAGCAAAGGCCCCAGTCACTTCATGCCTAAAATGGGGACAGCACTCCAGTGACTTCATCTACTGCTGTAAAAACGCAAACCCAACTTTCTAGACCCCCCCACAGGGTAAGAGCCTGGCCTGGCCTCCAAAACTCTGGGTTCCACAGCTGTGAGAAGGGTGGGACACCTGCCAGGGGTGGCATCGTGTCCAACAAGCATCCACTTGGGCTGCCCTGGGCATCCCCAGGGTTCTAGCTGTCCCAGTCCCCTACAGGCCTCACCTCCGACTTGAGACAACCAACCGCATTCATTAGACTGTCAATCTTCTTATCATAACGGTTCATTTTACAGTGACCCGAGTCATCATCTTCTGTGGAGAGGTCACTTAACCGCATCACTGAGACCAGCTTTTCTGAAGATGGAGGTGTGATCTCTAGGCAATGAGGCGGATTCTGTGCAGAGGAGAGACGTGCATGAGCTCATCAGATACACCATCAGTTCCAGCACAGCTGGGGCCCCCTGGAGGCAGGAACAGCTAAAAGGGCTAATGGGCCAAGCACAGGGACCCCAAAAACAGGGCACATCTTCTTGATGGAACCTTACCCACCCTGGCTTAGATGATGTTTCTGAAGAGTTTCTACCAATATCAAGTTTCAAATAAAGAAAATAACTGTCAAAAATAATAATAATACCCCAAGTTAGTGAAAATTTGAGAAAACAGAAGTGTTTGTCTCCCTAGGGGAGATATGAAATGTGTCAAGTCTTTTCAATGAATATGAAGGCTTGCTAGGCAAGAGTTGCAAAGGTGCACAAATCTGTTGTAAAGGGTATTTTTAGGGACAAGTGGGGAAATTTGATTTATATAATATAAATATTATATTTAAAGATGTGGTTTCGTATACACAAATGTTGGTTTTTAATGCCACATACCTGAAACTTATGTTATAATGCCATATGACTTCAATAAGGAAAAAAAAATAACGAAGTTTTTAGGAGTAATCTTTGTAATTTTAGGTAGAAACATATTATTAGAAACACTGAATAATATAGAGGTAGAATGGCATCATGTGTGGGAAACATCTTTTAGTACATTAGCATAAAAAGATTTTTCAAAAATGCACAGGTCCTGCAGGAAAGTTTCTACATAACTGCGTAACAGGGTCTCCCTGGTAGCACAAGGGGTTAAGGCTCAGCACTGTGAAGCTATCCACAGCCACTGCAGCACGAGTTCGATCCCTAGTCAGGGAGCTGACCCATAGGACACAGCAGACCTCCTTGTCTGCCTGCTGCTCCCCTTAGCAGTAACTTTCGGTAGATCCACCTGTTCTGCTCCCCACTCTGTCTCTAGTGAATCCTCTCACCCCCCCCCCCTCTGGCCTACACCCCAGCCCTTGTATGAGTAAATAAATAAAATAATTCTTTGAAAAAACAAAACAAAACTGTGTAACACTTTGCTTTTCAGACTCCAAAAAGACATTATTGTCCCAGGCCACGGTTTCCAATGTGCTAACTTGATTCTCATTCTCTAAATTTCTTCTGGTGCATTAAGTAACTGTTTTTGTGCCTTATTTGCGCTTTGCTTCTCGAAAACTGAGGAGGCCACCCTTCTGTGCCGATTTGCAGAGATGATGATGCTGTTGGAAGTAAAAAGGATCATTCCAAAGGGGTTAAATTAACCACAGTTTATGGCAAACAAGTCAAACTCAAAGGATACACATCAAATAAGGTGTGTGCCCCAGGTCCCAGCAATTCATTTCTAGGAATTGAGCAAGAATATCTAAGATGATTCCATGTTTAAGCTCCACACAAATATAGCGCTAAACATATGACAGGATAGCCTGGCTAAATAGTAACAGTACAAATAAGCCCACCAGGGAATAGCACCACGCAGAGACAGTCAAGGTATGATTTTTTAAAAAAGAATGTAAAGGGCCTCCCCGGTGGCGCAGCGGTTGAGCGCTGGGTTGCGAAACTGCGCGCGGCCTCTGCGGCGCCGGTTCAATCCCCGGCTGCTCCCCGGCCACCGGAGGAGAGTCCCACATGGCGCGCAGGCCTCTCCTGCCGCCCGCTGCTCCCCTCAGCAGTGTACTTCGGTCCTTCTGCCTGCTCTGCTCCCCGCTCTGGCTCTGGTGAATTCTCTCACCCTCCCGCGCTTCTGACTGTACCCAGTGCATGTATAAACAAAACAAACAAACAAACAAACAAACAAACCAGCAAACAAATAAATAAAGCATGCCTCTATTAAAAAAAAAAAAATAAAATAAAATAAAAAAGAATGTAAAATATGATGCCATTGTCACAAAAATCAAAAGAACAGGGTCTCCCCTAGTGGCGCAGGCGGATGAGCGCATCACTATGAAGCTGTCCCCAGCCTCCGTGGTGCTAGTTTGATCCCGGCTGGCAGACGAGGGTCCCACATGGCACGGCAGACCTCTCCTGTCGTGCCCGCTGCTCCCCTCAGCAGTGTATTTCATCGGTCTGCCTGTTCTGTTCCCCACTCTGTCTCTGGTGAATCCTCTCACCCTCCCGCACATCTGGCCTGTACCCCATTACTTGTATAAATAAATAAATAAATCTTTTTAAAAAATCAAAAGAACAAATCCTTTCATAAGTGATAGGAGCCTCACACCTAGCGATCTCATGGGGCTGCTGGGTGTTGGGATTACTGGTGGTTTCTATTTTCATTCTTGTGTTGATTTTGTTTTGTATTTTTATTTTTTTTTTAAAGAGGCATGTATTTTTATTTATTTATGATTTATTTATTTGTTTATTTGTTTTGTTTATACATGCACTGGGTACAGTCAGAAGCGCGGGAGGGTGAGAGAATTCACCAGAGCAGAGAGCAGAGTAGGCAGAAGGACCGAAGTACACTGCTGAGGGGAGCAGCGGGCGGCAGGAGAGGTCTGCGCGCCATGTGGGACCCTCCTCCGGTGGCCGGGGAGCAGCAGGGAATCGAACCGGTGCCGCAGAGGCCGCGGGCAGCTTCGCAACCCAGTGCTCAACCTCTGCGCCACTGGGGAGGCCCTCTTGTGTTGATTTTGGATTTGCTAATGTCTCAAAAGTGGCAATGCGTTTTTGTTTTTTTTTTTAAGATTTATTTATTTACTTATACAAGCACTGGGTACAGTCAGAAGCGCGGGAGGGTGAGAGAATTCACCAGAGCCAGAGCAGGGAACAAAACAGGCAGACCGACGAAACACACTGCTGAGGGGAGCAGCGAGCGCAGCAGAAGAGGTCTGCGCACCATGTGGGACCCTCGCCAGTGGCCGGGGATCGAACTGGTGCTGCAGAAGCTGAGGGCAGCTTTGCAGCCCAACGCTCAACCGCTGTGCCACCAGGGGAGGCCCAGCAATGCGTTGTTTTTATAAGAAAAAAGAAAATTAATATTTGAAAGAGGATAATCAGAAAATATATAGGCAGAATAGGATTACAACAATAGTTTAAAAATCACCATAGGAAAAAGTGAGAGTGAATATACCAAAATATTGCAGTTTCAGGTCATGGGGAGCATCTGGGGAGACTGTTATGTATTTTCTGGGGCTGGATGAAGGGACACAGGTGTATTCAGTTTGTAAAAATGCAACAGCAACACGCTTAGGGTGCATGTACTTTCATGCACTTTCAACAAAAAGTGTTTCATAGTAAGGGCAGTCAGATTACAGCGATAGAATTACAGGTGTATCTATTTTTCAACTTTCTGTACAAAAATAGATCACTTTTAATAATAAAGAAAACATCCAGACCTTTCTCCCAAATATGATGTTATGTCCCAGAAGGGGTTTTAAGAAGCCAAATAAGAAGCCCCACATGCACACAGCAACTTCTGGGGTCCATGTTCAGCCACTGTAAACTTCCTCCTCCCCGGTTCTCCTCCCTTGTCCATAATGGACAGGGTCAGCCTGGGCCATCCGGGAACACAGAGGGTGGCTGGGAAGAGGACAGGGGCTGGACCAAGAAGGCAGCATGTTAGAGAGATGACAAGTCACCTTGCTGAGTCCCTCCAATTTTAGGAGTCTGTGTCCTCAGGACTGGACGAGGAACTGAACTTCCCAGAGTTACTAATGCCTAGTAACTCATGTCAACAGGGAGTCAAATTCCACAGCTGCTTCTCTTTATGTCTACTTCAAAAACTATGTACCAAGTCTTTTTCAATCAACGGTGGGGAAACCATTTAGAATTAGAAAATATATGAATTAGAAAATGTAATATATGGGCCTCCCCTGGTGGCGCAGCGGTTGAGCGCTGGGTTGCGAGGCTGCCTGCAGCCTCTGCAGCGCTGGTTTGATCCCTGGCCGCCGGCAAGGGTCCCACCAAAAAAAAAAAAAAAGAAAGAAAGAAAGAAAGAAAGAAAAGAAAATGTAATATATGCTTGCCATAAAGAAGTTCAAGCAGGCCATAAAAAAGAAACTGTTAACCTCCAACATCTGAGAGGTAACCACTGCTTAGCACTTATATCCCTTCCAACAATATTATCACATACATACATGCTCGCACACATGGAAACACAAACACCCTTGTTTGCACAATAGGGCCTGGCTGCGCATGCTGTCTGGCTCAATGCCGGAATAGCCCCTCAGTCTTTTTAACAGCTGCATAGTATTCCATTGCATGGCTGTATCACCATTTAACCAACACCCTCCTGAGAGACATTGTTAGCAGTTTTCTCTATTACAAACATCTTTACACACAATCCATGTAACTCTTCTGGGACTTTTTCTTTTCTTTTCTTTTTTTTTTTTTTTTAATGTTTTGGGTTTTTTTTTTTTTGGCAGTAGCCTCATTGTTTTTTTTTCTTTAAAGATTTATTTTTTTATTTTTTTATTTATTTATACAAGCACTGGGTACAGTCAGAAGCACGGGAGGGTGAGAGAATTCACCAGAGCCAGAGCAGGGAGCAGAGCAGGCAGAAGGACTGAAGTACACTGCTGAGGGGAGCAGCGGGCGGCAGGAGAGGTCTGCGCGCCATGTGGGACCCTCCTCCGGTGGCCGGGGAGCAGCCGGGGATTGAACCGGCGCTGCAGAGGCTGCAGGCAGCTTCGCAGCCCAGCGCTCAAGCACTGCGCCACCGGGGAGGCCTGACTTTTTATTTTTAAATAAATTCCTACGTGTAAAGCAAGGAGCAATTTCTAGACATAAAACGAGAGAATCGATGTTTTGGCAGGTGTTGCCAAACCGCATCCTGCACAAGACATTGTTTTCAAGGTCCTCTCAAAACCGTCTAAAAAGGCTCGCTGGTACCCAAGGCAGCCACCACAAGATAACGGCGATCATTTTGATTTGGCTCCACTCAATAAAAATGATAGCTTTTTGTTTTTGCTGTTAAAACACAGTTTTGGGGCTCCCTGGTGGCGCAAGGGGTTAAGATAGAACCTATGAAGCTGTCCACAGCCACTGCAGCACAAGTTCGATCCCCTGCCAGCCAGGGAGACTGAGGCGTGGCCAAAAGGAGACAACAGTTCTACTGGCACCCTGACCACTGAGGCTGCAAGCAATTAATTCCCTGGAGAATGTTCCAAAGATAGCTCTGCTGGCGCCTCTGAAATACCTGCACAATCTCTCACCAGGATGACCTCAAAAGAAGCGATGCTTCCTTGGACGTGTACATTCTGACACATCCACTGTTAAAATTATGCCCCAGTTGTCAAGACATGGGGAAAGACGTGGGATCCCTCACTACAAATGAGAGAGGCTAAGAGCTGGGGCTCTGGCACGAGACATTCTCTCTCAGTTGTGACTCCAGCCCTGCACTGCAGTGAGGCCCCGAGCTCCAGCTTCCCGTGTGGAATGGGGCTGGTGGGCCTCCCACACTGCAGCGGTGTACGGACCCAAGCAGAGCCATATCCTTTCAGGCTGTGGCGAGGCACCCAGGACACAGGCGCAACTGGGGTGTCTCTCCTAGCTATAGCCCACCCCAAGTCCTACCGAGTTTGAGGCCTGCTAGAACCTGACAGTCCGAGAAGGGAAGCCCGAGCGAGCAAGAGCCTACCTCCCACTTGCATCCCACATGCCGGGCGGATGATTTTCCAGGGGGCATCCAAGGTACCTTGGTTTTCACCCGGACACTCCGCCGCACGTTCACGGTGTCCCCTTTCATTCCACGCTTATGGGATTTCTGTGGAAAGGGACAAACTCAGGGTCACTTCCCTGCCCAGCTGGCCTGGTCACTCTGGCAGCATCCACCTCCAGCTCTGCAGAGGGCCTCGTCTCACTGTGGCTACCGCTGCCGTGGCAGAGGGCCGTCCTGCCAACTTCCTACCAGGTCACTTGCCTCCGGAGCCAGTGCACTGGTCTCAAACCTTTCCAGTTCAGAGTTCCAGGAGGCAAAGCGGAGAGCTGTCGCCCTGCTCCACTCTTCACCTGGCCCCACTGACATGCTCCTACCTGGCTGTTGGCCGCTGACGGTTTCGGGAGTTTTTTTATGTGGACATGGACGGGGGTGTTCTCATCCACGTGAACATGTAAGGGGGGAGTTGAGGAGCGGTCCTTCATGGTTCGCTTCTGGCAGGCAGGGGAGGACAACACAAAAAAGGTTGATCTGTGGATGAGTAAACTGGGCATAAAGAACAGCTCATAGCCTCTGGGAACAGAAAAAGCCAAGCCATGAAGCGAGCAGGACAACGACCAACTACAGGCATGCGGCAGTCATGAGGCGGGTGTCCGCAGCAGGTGGAGACTCCGGCTGGAGAGGACCAGACACTCCCAGGTCTGCGCAAGCGCAGGCTCTGCAAGGCCAGCTGGTTCTACACAAGAGCCAAAGTGGGGTCCTGGGCTCCTCACCGGGGCATCTCCTCTGCCACAGGCACAGCAGCCTCCTGCGATTAGCGCGGCAGGTAGCGGGGGATGGGGGTACTCTGCTACAAAGAAACCGCCGGGCATGCAGATTAGCACAGGGGACACGAAAGGATGAGGGCGCAAAATTAATCAGACAGCAGGCAGGTAAAAGACGATGACAACAGAGAGGTGGAAGAACTGCCAAGACGAGAAGGTTCAGAGATTCCAGAGGAAATAGAAATGTGGCAGAAGGCCAGTTACATTCCCCTGGCCCTCACCCCTTCACTTCGCTTTCATTCTTTTTTTCTTCCTCTTCTGTTTGGGGTGAAATCTGTTCTAAAGATTTTTGGAATTTGTCTGCAAGGATTAGGTTAGAAGCTCCTCATACTGGCACCCTTACCACAGACCAAAACACCCCCACTGCTCAGCAGACTATGCCTAAAGGCACCTGGCAGAGCCAGGCCACAAGGGGACCAGCAGAGCAAGGCAGCTCCTGGAAAAGGGGGTGCAAAAGCATTGTAGGGGGGCGGCAGACTGGAGGGCTACTCTGTGCAGGTCACCTACCGTCACGGTCACACTGGGTGCGCCACAAGGTGTCCTCAAGACCTTTTTCTGCGTGAGACTTGTTACTCCGTTCTTCCCACAGGATGGAAACCTGCACCCGGGCACAAGAATCAGACTGTAAGCTGACAAAGCAGGCCTCTTGCGTGTCTTAGATCTCCCTAAGTGACATACCACATAGGGCGGGCTAGCAAGTTCACACCTAGGAGAGCCAGTTCGGAATTACTTGGCTCCCAGTACGTGAGCACTAAACACACATGGTGTGCCCGCAGTGGGATGGTAACAGGGCACTGTGAATGGTGGCACTCATGCGACTGGCCTTTAACCTGCCATCGCATCACACGTATTGTGACCTTTTGCTGAAGAGCCAACAGTCACCCCACAGGTAAGCAGCACTCATGGCCAAGGGTGAAAGCGCCCAGGACAGGCCTGGAGCGAATGCGGCCAAGGGGAATGACTGACATCAAGACAGAGGCCCCAGGACAAAGTCCCGGGACACAACTTCATAGAATTAACAGAGGTCAAACATTCACCTTAGGAGGTGAAAAATTACTATCCACCACCCCCCACCCAAAGAGTCCACTAGCTACCCTTTAAGCACCTCAGAAGCAAGGCTACTTTTGGCTTGTGGAATCCATCCACAAATATATACATAAGCAGAGCGGCGGCCAGATCTGTAGGGATAGTAAAGGCTGAATCTCTGACCATGGACATCAGCATCTCCCAGAAGCCAGCCAGGAAGATGCTTGGGACGCTGGGACACTGACTGGATGCATCCCACTGCCTCCCACAGCCACAAAAGGCCCCCTCCCGCCGTCCTCCCCAGACACTTGGGGAAAATGACACAACCAAAAAATGCAATGTAAAAATTCTCAATCACTGTAGCCAGCATCTTGCTGCATGGACATCACACCTGGATGAGAAGGATATAAAAACGGATTGAGCCCTAATAATCACTTAACCGAGAAAAACCAAATCTGAGCGGACAGGGTTTCTTTGTCCCCCCTCCTCACTTGTAATGTTTCTGTTCACTTAAAGTCAATGAACTTGAGAAATTGCTCTCCCATCAAACCACCTGGGTTCCATCTACACTTTGTATCCGCCTCCTTCACCAACTTATTTACACAGGGCCTCACCCTCCACGGAGACAATAGGTGGCCCTGTTTGCTTCCAGGGCTGGGGAACCTGAGGGCAGAGGGAGGACGGTGGAAAAGAAGGCAGCGCTGGAAGCCTGGACTGGGGGACCCTGATCACCTTTCCCTGCCCTAGGGTGGAAGTGCCCCCCACATTGGCAGTACCTGGGGGAGCCGCCTGAGGATGAGGCCGACATGGCTAGGCATCAAAGCCCCAAAGGTGGGCAAATGGGTCAGCAGGCTCTGCTCAGGGGGACCCAGAGGGGCTGGTCAATGAGAATCTCAGGGGCCTGGCATCAAACGTCCTCTCTGGGGGGAGAAGGGTGGAGCTTTGGGGGTGGCAGTTGGATGAAAACTTGGGAGACGCTCCTCTACTGTCCAAGTCGCACAGCAACTGTCCTGCCAAAGTGGGATGGGGTGGGGGGAGACAGGAGAGGCTGAGCGACCTTTGCGGCGGGGCAGGTGGGCGACCAACCCCCCCCCCAGGAGGGACAGGGCGGGGAACCGCCAGGGAATGGACCACCACGCCCAGGCCCCACCCGGGCGGGGAGGTGGTGGCCACCAGGGGGAAAACCTGAGGTGCAGGCTGGCGTACGTGGAGGGCCGGAGAGAACCACTAGGCCCCAAGTGGGCCCCTACGGGCGCGAACCCGCGCAGGGAGCTGGGGGGATGTTGGGGGCGGGGCCGGGGCAACTGTCTCCTAGGAGAAGGGGCGTTCCCGACAGAATGGATACCCGAGAGGACCAATAGTATCTGGAGAAGGGCGCACGGCCGCGGGCGGGACCCCCGACGGCGGAGGGGCCGCGCTCCCGGACGCAGGGTTTAGCGTCGAGCTGGGGCGGGCGGGGCGGCGGCCCCGGGGCGGGGAGGCCGCGGCAGCGGGGTCGGGCTGCCGGGAGCGGGCCCCGGGCCGGCGCCGCCGACGAGGAGCCGGCGAGTAACGGCCGTCGGGGGCCCGCGGGGGCGGGGCGGCCGGGCGCGGGGCCCACCACCCACCAGCGGCCGAGAGGGGCCCGGCTTCTGCCCATAGGGTGCGGGGCGAGCCCTGCCGGAGGGCGGCCGGGAGGGGAGAGCCCGCCGGTGGCCAGGCGAGAGGAGGCGGCCGGGCCGCCCGTTAGCGGCAGGAGGGAGCCCGCGCCGGTGGGCGGGGCGGGGCCGGGTTCTGACGGGAGCGGGACGAGCGCGCCGGGGTGCAGGCGGGGCGGCCCGTGGGGGGCGGCCGCCCCCGGCGACCCCGGCCGGGCGATCGCGCCCGGGGAACGGCCCCGGGCCCCGGAGAGCCCGGCCCCGCCGGCCCGCGGCCTCTCACCAAGAACGACACGGCTGCGCCCAGAAACGTCTCCTTATGAAGTCGTTGAAGTCGGAGGCCAGGGTCGTGCCATGGAGACGCCGCGGCGGATGCAGTCCGGCTCCCGCGGCGGCTCCTCCCCGCTTCCGCCTCCTTTTCCGACACCCGGTCGGCAGCTCGCCCATTGGCCAGTTCAAACCCCCCCGTGAGCCTCTCGGGTTTCGCCATTTAGGCCCAGCCCCGGGCGTCACAGAGACGCCCCGCCCCTCGGGAGCCCCGCCCACCTCCAGGCCACGTGTCCCGTCGCCACGGAGACGCGCGACGCCACCCGCGGCCCCGCCGGGGCTTGTCCCGAGGCTCGACGACGGCGGCCCCCTCCGCCATTTTGGTCCGGCCGCCTCAATCCCCGTGACAGAGGGGCGCTAAACGTCGAATCCCGCGCCCGTGGGGGTGGGGCCCGGCGAGGGGTCACAGAGCCGGTTAGTGTCCCCAGTCGCCGTCGTCTGCACGCACAGGAGGGGGGCCGCAGCCCCCCCTTGCTCCCCGCCGCCCGCCTGCACCTGCGAGCCGCCGTGGTGCAGACCTGTTCTGAAGAGGTTCTCGGTGGGCCGCCATCTCCTCAGTTCTGGTTCAGGCAACCAATGGCGGGAAACGTGCCCTGGATTCTGGGAGACTGACATCCCGGGCCCACCGGCCTCAGATTCTTGACCTCCTCGCCTCTAATGACCGCCCCTGCAGCTCAGCCGCGCACGCCCGTGGTCACACAGCTGGTGCGTCTGAAAATTCACATTCCGGGCCCCTGCCTCGCACAGGCTGCTTTTCTGCCAAGGCGCTCCATGGCTGTTGCCGTCCTTGCTTATTTTTCAGGGCCAGGGAGCCCTCCACTCCCTTGACTGTGCACTTCCCCCACCCCCTTTGCATAAGTGATGGGTCCCCAATCCCAGGAATTGGGGACCTGAGGCTTCACAAGACAGAATGCGAGAGTGAGCACTCTGCCTTCAGCTGGCTGCCACTGCCGGCCTGCGGTGGTCCTCCTTGTCCCTACACCCCCTCCCTGCAGTGACTCTGCCCACATGTTTCCCCATTCCACACTCCAATTTTCTTTTTTTTTTTTTTTTTCAGAGAGAGAAATAAATCCATCCAGTGGAACCCCTTCAACCTTATCCCTGGTCTCCTTCCTGTTTGCCCCCACCCTTCAGTCCCCCATGAGAGGAAGAGAGAGGCTTCTCCATGCCCAAGACCAACCTCTTGCTCAGGCATCTCTGCATCTCTGCAAAATGTCTCCTGCTAGCCCAAGACAGAACTGTAGATGGTCTCTCAGTATTGCCAGATTCACTGAACTAGTGTAAACTTCCTACTATGTGCTAAGTCCATTGTGAGGGACTCTAGACCAACACGTCCGCCGTCTCCCGGGACCCATGGCTGACCACTCTAACAGCTACATTAGGAGGTGAAAGCGGTGGGTGCCCTGCCCACCACAGACGGCTTTTGTCTATGGTGTTTTCCAACCCCCACTAAATTTGGGAGCTCTTTGGGACTTTTTTTTTTTTTAAAGATTTATTTGTTTATGCATACGAGAGCTGGGGTACAGGCCAGAAATGCAGGCGATGAGGGGATTCACCAGAGTCAGAGTGGGGAGCAGAACAGGCAGATCTACTGAAATACACTGCTGAGGGGAGCAGCAGGGAGACAGGTCTGCTGTGCCATGTGGGTAGCTCCCTGACCAGGGATGGAACTAAGTGGCTGGCGATAGCTTAATAGCGTTGAGACTTTAACCCTAGCGCCACCAGGGAGGCCCTGTGCCTATATTCTTTTTGGTACTTTAGAAAAAATTCTAAATGTCAACTGTTTGTCAAGAGGGAATGTCACGTGTATGCATTTGCCAGGGCTGCCCTAACCAAGCAGCTAGAACCGTGTGGCGACCAACACGAAATGCTCATCTCAGAGCTCTGAGCCCAGACGTCTGAGAGCGAGGCATCAGCAGGGCCACCATCCTCTGAAGATGTTCTGAAAGGATCTGTTCCAGGCCCCTCTCCTACCTCCCTGGAATTCCCCGTAGCAGAGCTGCAGCCAGTACCTGCTGTTCTCCCTGTGAGTGCCCCCATTTCATAAGGCCACCAGCTCTCCGGGGTTAGCTCCCCAGGGTGAGCTCATCTTAACTAATTACAACGACCCCATTTCTCCATAGTCTCCTTCTGTGGGAGGTGGGTCAGGACGTCAACCGATGAACCTGGTGGAGGCACAATTCTACACCCAGGGTCATGGGTATGTTCTGTTGAAAGATGTCTAAGAACCAGTAATGAAGCCACCAGCCAGCTTAAGAAGAGATTTTAAAAAATGCCTTTTAACCAGTAGACACTATCCCCAAGTGCTAACATGGCCAATTTTATTTCCCTCCTCCTGTGTTTCTGAACTTCCACAATGAACGGGAACCTCTTGGTAGAAATAACAGGGGAAGGAGTCGCAGTCGGCTCCAGCAGGGGAAGGGGCCCAGCCCTGCAGTAGGAGTGCTGCCCCTGAGCCCTCAGGTCCTGGCTCCAGTCTCGTCATGTGCCCAAGGGCCTGATTACCAGGTCTTTCCATCCAGGAGCAGCCCCTCCGGGAGCTGATGCAACCGCTGGGCGCCCGGAGAAGGAAGCCACTCTCCAAGGTGGGTCAGGCTTTTTCTTTCAGGTGACGTAAGAGATTTTAGGTCCTGGGTGTAGCTGAGCAAGAAAAGTCTCTCAGGGCCTGGGAAGACTTGGTTCTTCCTGCAGCCACTGAGCAGCCCCTCGCCGGCCCTGGGTCTCTGAGGCTGGATGGGCACAGGACTCAGCTGAGGCTCCTGGCTCCACGGGCCCTCAAACCTCTCGTTCTCAAAGTGCAGTCTCAGCAACAACAGCACCGGCATGACCAGGGAATTGCTGGCAATGCAGAGTCGCAGACCTGTGACTCGCTAACTGGTCTTATTAAATGATTCACGAGTCAGGCAGCATCCAGTCAGCCAGTGGAAAGGAACTCGAGGACCTCCCCTGGTGGCGCAGCGGTTGAGCGCTGGGCTGCGAGGCTGCCCGCAGCCTCTGCAGCGCCGGTTAGATCCCCGGCCGCCGGTGAGTGTCCCACAAAAGAAAAAAAAAAAAAAGGAACTCGAGGGGGTCTCCTTGGTGGCACAAGGGGCTAAGCACAGTGCTGTGAAGCTATCCTCAGCCTCTTCAGCACGATTTCAATCCCTAGCAGGCCAGGGAGCTACCCACATGGTGCAGCAGACCTCTCCTGCCTGGCAAGCCCACTGCTCCCCTCAGCAGTGTATTTCAGTAGATCCACTTGTTCTGTTCCCCACTGTCTCTGGTGAATCCTTTCACCCCCCAGCACCTCTGGCCTGTACCCCAGTTCTTGTATGCATAAATAAATCTTTAAACAAACAACAAAAGCTGCATTGCCCTCCTCTGCTCCTAGATAGCATCAGGGTATTTAGGTCAGGAGAACTTAGAAAAAGAAACCCCCCGCTTAGAACTACATTCTAATGTCTATGACTCACTGTTCCTACCTATATAAACTAAATTCAAACTCATGTGTGTTGGAACCAGCCCTCACAGAGTAAAATCTGCTGGACTGAGTCCCAGGTGAGAGTCCTCACTTTGGTGATCTAATAAACTCTTTGTCTATCACGGAGACTTCATTTCCGGTTAACAGCACTGATCCCACCACTTGGGCCCCGTCCTTCCCACAGCCATGCCAGGTACTGGAGTCAGGCTGGGCCAGCCGGACCTCATCCCCAGGACAGACTGAGGGAGAGCCAGCCTCGGGTGGTGTCTGGCTGGTGCCAGGACCCAGGTGCTGCTTGACTGAGTCAAGAGGCTGCCATGGGAGGGGGGCTGCCCTGAGCAAGAAACCGGGAGATGCTGGTGCCACCACCACAGTCCTCACTGGTGGAGGCCAGGCAGGGAGCCCTCTCCCCGCCTCGGCAGCCCGGGTGCAGGCACTGGAGACTGTCGAGACCGTCGCTGGCCTCAGAAGCCTGTCCTGCTAGGGCCTGGGGAAGGGAAGAAGGCGTGCTGTTCCAGGCAGAAGAGTGGAAGGACACAGAGCTGCTGCAGGTAGCCCAGCGGCACGGGGTGATTCCAAGTGCCCCAGGTCCTTTCCCCGTGTGGACGCCTAACCACAGAGGTGCCTGGCCCATGAGAGGCCCAGGTGCCGCCAATGCACGCCCTCTGGCGGTCACGCTGCCTAGGGCCACAGAGGAGCCCTGGCCCTCCCCGGGGAAGATCAGAAGCCCTGACTGGACCAGCAAGGTGAGGCTGGTGATGTCCAGGAGAGCCCCAGCCGGTGAGCACTCACTGAGGGCTGGGCTCCAGGTCTGCCCACTTCAACCCCACACAGCCCAGGAGATGCTGTTCTTCCCACCTCACTCTACCCAGGACTAAGGAGATGCCAGGTCGGCCTGACTCCTCCTCCAGGCTGGCTTCCCTCTCTGTCTCTTAACTGCTTACTTGGTCATCGGGAGGCCTCCCTCCCAGGACTCGTGACCACCAAAGAGGCTCAGCCACAAGTTAAAATGTATAAGGTGCAAATTCTAGCCGGCTTTTATTGAGGGCCTCCCGTGAGCGGAGCACAGGTCCAGGGGGCCGCCGCTCCCCTTCCTGCATGTCCCACTGGCCGGGGGCCAAGGGGTCCAGGTAGCTGAGATCCAGGCACCAAGCCGGGGAGGGGCTGAGGCGGAGAGGCCGAGGGGTCCCAGCTGCGCAGGGCCCCTGGTGTCTGCCCAGCTTGAATGAGAAAGCTGGGGAGCCTCCCCCCTCCTCTCCACCCAGGCCCTGAGTCAGGCCGGAGTGAGGTAAGAGGGCCTGTGAATCCCGCTCCTTTGAGGAAGGGGACCCGCTCTGAGCAGTTTCTGTCACCATAACACAGGCGCAGGGGACACAGTGGTCGTCCTGAGGTGGCAGCCAGTCTCCACTGGGTCCGTGGCTCCTGGGACGGCTCCTGTCAACATCCTCCAGCTCTGTTTCCTGGGCAGCTGAAGCCTGTTCATGCACATCCTTCTAGAGTTGACAGCTGTACCTGGTGGGACGGGAGGGGCACGAGAGAGAAACAGAAGAACTAGAATCTGGCAGCAAGAGACAGAAACAGACAGAGGCAGGGGTGGGGTGGGGTGGAGAGGCCAACAGATAGAAACGAGAGAGCCAGGAGGAGGGAGAGCGAGCGAGAGGTGGACAGAGACATGGAGACACGGGAACAAAGGCGGGGGGGGGGGGAGCGGGGGGAGGGAGCAGATGGGCTAAGGAGGGAAAACAGAGACCCAGAAAGTCAGCCCTGGAGGGCCGGGTAACGGAGGCCTGCGGCGCTGGGGCCCTTCCCCACTCTGGGCTCACCTAGAGCTCGTCCCGGGGGTGGGGGCGGAGGCTGTGTCCACTGCTGCCGGCCAGGTCCAGGCGGGGGTCTCGCAGGGGCTTGTGAGAGCCACTCCAGCTGACCAGGCGGCCGCTGTCGTCGTCCCAGGGGGAGGACGTCTCTGTGTCGCTGAGCCACTCGGCGTCCCCGGCGTAGTGGGTGGGGGCAGCGAGCAGGGGCCGGGCCGAGAAGGCCCGCAGGTCCCGAGGCCAGAAGTGGGCCTTGTACTGCTCACTGTGAAGCAAGGAGAGAGTTCAGGGGAGCCAGGGGACCCCCGGCCCAGGCCACGCACCTGTCTGGAGCCAGGCACCTCACTCCTCCCCATCGAGCCCTCACAACAAACACGGCAGGCGGGGCTCTCTTATTCCCACTTTCCAGGTGGGAAAACTGAGGCTCGGGGCTGGGAAGCACAGATTCAAACCCACCCTGGGCAGCAGAAATTGCACACCTCGGCTGGGCTGGCTACCCCTGGGTGACCTGCGGCAAGTCCCTGTGTGACAGCCCCCGGCAGCCTCTGTTCCTCCAGCTGCCCAGCAACGGGACTTGCTGCCTGCGGAGATGGCCTCCCCCAACTCCACTGGAGACTCACTTGGGGTGCTGGTCAAACATGATGGGCAGGAACTCGTCCACAGGCAGCATCCGGCGCAGGGGCTGGGAGGCCAGCAGCTTGCGGGCACCCGCCAGGCTCATGACGTAGGCCAATGTCCAGTAGGAGTACCCGGCCACCACCAGGCGCGGCAGCCCCTCCACAGCCACCTCCTCCTCAGGGTTCACCTGCTTCCGACCAAGGTAGCTGCAGGTGACACCAAGGGTCCCAGGAGTGTCCATGACCCTGGGGTGTCCATGACCCTACTTCCAATCCCACACTGCAGGACTAAGCTTGGGGGTGAGCTGGACGGGCCGGCTCCACACAGGAGGCAGACCCCCAGAGGCCGGCCCACTCCCTCGCCCTGGGGGTATAGATTGCCTACATCAGGTCCCATGGAAGTTTCTCGGCCTCCACCTCCTCCATCAGCTGCTCCAGTCGGCCCCGGAAGTTGCTCTCAAAGCGCACATCATCTTCAAACACAGCGACCTGGGTCAGGCCCCGGGCAACCACCTGAGGTACAGAATGGGGTGGAGGCTTGGAGTACCTGGACCTCCACTAACACCTGTTCCCACGGTTACAAGTTAAAGGCTCAGCCCTGGCCATATCACCCAGCCGTTCCAAAGCTGCCCGGGGCTCCCAGGGCCGGGGGCCACGGTCCCAGCACCATGCTCAGGTCCCCAAGGTCCTCCAGGCCCGATTGAGCTCTCCAAGCAGAAGCCCAATGGCCACCCTCACCCTCAAGACATTCACTGAGCACTTCTGTGTCCCAGGGGCCACAGCACTTATTTCCAGGGACTCTGAGGAGGCAGGACCCGTGGGTGCCTGCGTTGCGGGAGGAGCTACAGACTCGGGTGAGGAAGCTCTTCCAAGGACACACCGCCAGGACATGGGGGCCAAGCATGTCAACCTGCACCTGTGAGCCCCCTGAGCTGGGCTGGGGGCCGGGGGAAGTGGGAAGGCCTGAGCCCCCAACATTTCTAAGAAAAAGTACTTTTTACTCTTGGAAAAGGAAAAGCCCAGGAAACCAGTAAGTAAATGGGAAAATGTACGTCATCCCTGCATGTGCTCAGAGACAGAAGAAAACAAACATAAACACAGCTCACACCCATCTATTTTTGGCTACAGGAGAAAATAAAAACCAGAGGGGCGCCCCCTGGAGGGCCCCGGAGCAGTGTCCCAGCCCCATGATGAAGTTTCCTGGTGGTGCCCAGCAGCCCAAGCCCTGTCTTCCTCCCTCCCGCCCTGAGCACGCCCTTGGCAGCCTGCTTCAGAGCCAGCGCCCCCACCTTCTCTGCCCAGAAGGCTCTTCTCCCTGCCACTCAATAGCCAGACCACTCTGACCTCACACCATGCTCTAGAATAGCCTGCACCTCCCACTCTGCGTCAAGTTTGGTTCCTTCTGGATTCCTGTGTGTCCCCTCAGGTCCCTGAGCCCCAAGCAGATTTTTCTTCTCCCCCCTTTTCAGGCTGGAAGAGCTCCGAGCTCACGGGAGGTCTCCCAGAGACTCAGGGTGAACAGGCAGAGCGCGCAGGAGGTGGACAGCTACTGGCTAGGTCTAGGCAATATTCTCAGCCCCCACTGGCCCCTCAGGGCTCTCCTCACGGGCAAGGGCTGGGGGTCTCACCTCCTCCCAGATGGAGTAGTGGCTCAGGAAGCAGCCCACCTCGCCCTTGGTCAGCGTGCGGCCCGAGTAGGGGTCCTGGTAGCCGGGCAGCAGGTCCACGCCGAGGCGCCTCAGGACACTGCTATTAAGCGTCCTGAGGGAGACAGGAAAGTTAGGCCTGAGGAGCTGTGGGGGGCCTGGCAACGACCAGCCAAGGCTCTGCTTTGAGGGTTTCAGCCTGGTCATTGTTTCGTGAGGCTGCAGCCATCAGTGACAGGACCTGGGGAACAACAGCCACCTGGGGACAGGTGATCCTCCAGGGAGCTGGCCTGAGGGAGAAGCACCCCAGGGCCAATGTGGCAGAAGGCCAGCAAAGGACGGACACCCTGCGGTCCACAGGGCTGGGGGCAGAGGTGGGGCCACAGGTGCGTGGGGCCCCTGGGCTCAGGACTAGTCTGCTCCCACCCCACCCATCAGGGAGCCAAGTCCAGGCTGGAGAATAACCCTCCCAGACACAATGACCAGGCCTAACCTTCGCAATCTGCCTGGCACCGGCTAAGCTCACCCCTCACTAAGCCCCCAGGAAGAAGGCATGACTGTTTGCCGTTTACACACCCGGGCTGAGAGACGAGAGACGGGGTGACTGACCAGAGGCCGCGGCTGGTAAGTAGCAGAGCTGGAGCCCCAGCCGGCCCTACCCACTACATGCACACCCCCCCGGGGCAGCATTACTCAGCCTGGTTTGACAGCTCCTGGGACAGAAAACTCAGGCCCCTCACCCATCTGCTCTCAGGGGGCTCCCTCCAGCTGCCCAGGTCCCCACTCCAGGGTGTCTCACCGGCCATCCACAGCGTCCACCACCCGCCCAGAGATCTCCATCTCCCAGAGAGAGCTCAGCATGCGCTCACGGCGGTCGGGCCGGCGGGCCAGGCTGATGACAAAGACCTGGAGGAAGTGGGGATGGGTGGGTGCTGGGGTACACAGGGAGAGGGGAGAGCCACCCAGCTCCTGACCACAGTGCTGCAGGCTAGAGGCTTACCTCATCAAACCCCATCTTGCTGAGCTTCTTTGGGGGCCGGGACACATGAGCCGAGGCCCACATAGGGGGCCCATCCACTGCAGAGGAAAGCACCCCCAATCATAAGTCACTCCTGGCTCACGTCAGCATAGACCTGGTGTCTGAGTCCCCCGGGCAGAGTACCCAACAGAAAAGGCCCTGGAGGCCACAGAATCCACCTGTCTCCCTCGTGGTGACAGGGAAACAGGCCCAGTGGGAAAAGGGACTATCCTGGGTCAGGGAAGGTGTTAGGGGTGGGGTTGGCACCTACACTTGATGCCCGGTCAGGTCCGGACACCTGGGGAGACAGGGAGGTGGCAGACAGCATCCCAGTCCCTGGCCTCACCTAGCGATTCCAGAATCAGGTGGATAAAGTTGACCTGCTCGTCCACTAGCCCCTGGTGGGATTTCACAGGCACGTTCATGTACCCGTAGCGGTGATCATTGCACACGTGCACCGAGACCCCTGAGGGGAGAGGCAGAGTGAGCGCTGCGGGCAGGGCCCCGAGAGTCTGGCCCTGACCCAGCGCCAGGACTTGGGGACTGCAGGGAGAAAAGGCTCCGTGTCTACAGGTTTAGTGACCCCACAGCCGTGTCCAGAGCACCTGCTGGGCACCAGGTTGACCATGGCCAGCAAGACACACACGGGGGCCCATCCTCTGGGAGGCCCAGGTGAGGAAGGAGCCGGCAAACCTGACTGTAGCCCCCGATGCCACCAACTCCCCTCAAATCTTCTCCCCTTTGGTTCCCCCATCATCTCACACCATCTGGCACCTTTGACCAGGATCCTACAATGACCCTCTCACCGTCTCCTGTCCCCCAGGCGTTCCCGTGCCCAGAGTGGCACATATTTTTTCAACACGTGTCATCTTAACGTAAGCATTTAATGTAACTTATTTAGTCATTATCTTTTACAGACTGGGGAGCTCCTCAGGAGGTGAACAGAAAACTTTTCAAAGTGAACCCCCGGGCCAGCGTGGAACCAGGGCTTGGAACTCCCAGCAGACTGTGGGAAGCAGGAAGGATGAGCACTGAGCCATGGCCCACCAAGCCCCATCTAGCCCCGGCCCACTCGGGTCACTGGAGCCGTGAAAAACTAAGGAGACGTTTCTGCTGCTGCTCATTTGTCCTCCAGGTATGTCTGACCCTCAGCACTAACTAAGGGATCTTTTCTGCCCGATGCCTGCACCAACATCTGGGGCACAAAACTTGGGGTCACAACATTCCTCTCAGCCGAGGCCACTGCTGCCAGGCCTTGGGGGTAAGACTTGCTGATGAAACCCTCACTTCTGACTCACCGGCCCAAAGCAAAGTCCCCCAGGCCGCAGCAGCCTACCTCTCCCCACCACCCCTCAATCCAGGCCCTGAAATACATTCCACAGCCACCCGAGTTCCTTACTCAGGACTGGAGTTATCTCATCCAAACCCACTTCCTAGTAATTTCCATCTTAGGGTTATTTTTTGGATGCTTTCAGTGTGCAAATCCATTGGTGGGATCCGGATCCTCTGATGGCTGCCCACGGTTCTCAGGCTAAAGACCTTGCTGACCAGGTCCACAGAGGCTGGCCCTGGCTCCCTTTCCTGCTTGAGCCTTAGCTGGGCCCCCTTAGCAGCCCTTTGCTGACAGTATGCTCTATCTACCTGCCTTCTGTGTTCCCTGCTACCACAGGACCTTTGCACCTGCTGGTCCCCTTGGCCAAAATGTTTTCCTGTTGTGTTAATGCCTACTCATGCTTTAGAGCTCAGCCCCAAAGTTCACATTCTCAGGAAGCCTTCCCTGACCAGGTCAACTCCAGTCTAAGCTTCAGGAACACCTAAATCCAGACACTCTCTTTTCAGTCACCACAGCTAACAGACATTGATTAGTGTGATCCTGGGCTGGAGGCTCCAGGAGGGCAGGGAGCACCTGCTTTCACTCACCACTGGTTGCCCTGAACCTGATGCACAGCAGGTGCTCTATTAACGCCTGCCACCGGAACATGTCATGATGGGGACAGCTGGAGGCTGACTCATCTACTGGAGCCATGGGCTCGAGGAAGGCTATGACCCAAAGGACAAGCAGGAGTGAACAGGACAAGCTGCAGTGTGGGGAAGGGCCTTCAAAGCAGAGGGAACAGCATGTGCAGAGAGGTACAGAGGTCTCCAGGGAAGGTTGGAAAGGAGCCGGTCCTCACCTGCAGCCTGACAGGCGTATGCGAAGACGATGATGTCGTCGAAGGGCCAGGTGTAGTTGGGGTGTGGGGGGTAGAAGGCGAGCTGCGCTGCCCCCTCTGCCCCCAGGGACACCAAGAAGGTGGAGTGGACCATGGGCACCCGGAAGCAGCCCCGGCGCTGGCGGTTCTTGGTGGGAAAGTATTCGGCTGTGCGGCGGTAGTAGCCCTGGGAAAGGGGTTGCTCTGGGCTATGAGAGTCCCCTTCTGCCCCCAGAATATTGCCCCCCCCCCGCCAGAGCCCACCGGTTTCCCAGGCTTCAAGCTCACTATGTCCCTCTTCTGGGGACCTCAAGCCTCCTGAGGCCCCAGCCCTGCCTCACCTGGGGGGTGATCCCACACCAGAAGTTGGAATAGTAGGTCTGGGAGTCCAGCATGGGGGCCACCACCGGCAGGCCCTGCTCTATCAGCAGCCGCAGCGTCTGGTTGTTGGTCAGAATGTTGTCTGTATCTGCAAACTTGAGGGAGGGTGGCCACTGACCCAGCCTTCTCTGGGCTGCAGCCCCCCAGAGAGTAGGGTAGCTCCCACAATCTGATGGAGCTCCTTTGAGAGGTCTAGAAACCAAGAGATGTTTCTGGACCAAAGACCTCACCTGGGGCACTGGCTCCAGGACTGGACCCAGAATGGGGCCGGAGCTGCTGATCTAAGAACATTACCTGAGTCTGAGGGAGTAGTAGCCTACTCTGAGTTCTAGTCTGGGGAAGCAGGCTCAGTTTATAGTCTGGGCTATAGCTTAGGGATCTGGGCTCAGTATATCTCCTGGGATCTAGCACAGGGAGCCAGGCTTAGTACCTAGTCTGAGCTTAAGCACAGAGATCTAAGTTCTACATCTGGTTTGAGCTCTGATCCACGTTGCTGGCTGAAGGATCCAGGCAATGGGTGGTTAAGACACACCAAGCTTGGTCCGGGACAGGTACCACCCTGTGAGAAGCTAAGTTCAGGCCAGGCTTTCTTACCAGGATATAGTCAGCCCCCCAGGCCCTGGCAAAGGTCAGGGCTTCCTGCTTCAACTCCATCAGAAATTGGTGCCTTTCTTTGGTCCAGTGCTTGGGACCCTCTTCATCTGGGTAGGGCCTGAGGGGTAAAGACATGAGATGTTGCCCTGTGGCAGGTGCCTTTCCCTCTGCGGGGCAGGGGGCGGAGCCCTGGTCCAGAGGCTGTGGCTCCACACTCTCCCTGTCCCCTCTGGGTGGTGGCTAATGCCTGTCGTCCCCAGCACCTTTCCCTCAGATCACCACCTGTGCTCCACATCCGGCCTCCAGACCACGGCCGCGTAGTCCTGGCCCACAGCGGCCAGCCACTCCTGCAGCATCTCCGTTGTATTGTCCACATTGTGGTCCGTGGCGCACCTGGGACATGGGAGGAAGAGGGTTGAGGGGCCCAGCCCCAGCAGGATCGAACCCAGAGGCGGCCTTGCCTCCCAGAATCACTGACACCGGGAGGCTGGCCTCTTCGGGCGCACTGGAGGTAGGTGTGCCCCAGAGGAGGGGCTTAAGGCAGGCAGGCAGGTCCTGCTCACGGTTCCGTGACATGCTGTGCGACCTCAAGCAAGACCCTGTCCATCTGTGGGCCTCTCGTTCTCCTCTGTCCCGCCCAGCTCATGGGCTGAGGGAGTAGGAGGAGACTGCCAGCTGAAAGGTGAAAAGCACTTCGACTTTGCCAAATACACCTGCTGTGTTCCTCGGTTCCCTGCTTTCCGGCCGTGTGACCACAAGCCAGCCCCTTGCCCTCTGAGGCAGGTTAGACAGAAGAGCTGCTCGTTCCCTCCACCTGAAAGTCGTTGTGAGGACCAGGCCACACTCAGGAGACCCTGGGGAGTGCTGACTGCCAGCCCTGCTGGCCAGAGCAGGCGCTCTCCTCTCCTGTGGGCCCAGCTAAAGGACTCGTGGGGGAGAGCGGGTGGGGGCCTTAGCCAAAAGCCCAGGTTTTATGTGATTCTGCCCCTTTAAGCCAAGTCCCCACAAACTACGTGTCAAGTCCTGCAGGGGTGGGAAAAACTCACTCCCAAACTGTGGTAATGGTAGGCGGCCCCCTCAGGCCAAAGCTCCACCCCCAGGCCAACTGTGGTGTGTGGTGAGGGGTAGTTTGTCATTTCTCTCAGCTTATCCGCAACCTCAGCTGCAGACTCCACCCTGTTCAGCCTGCCACAGACTGTGGCCTCCACAGCCCCACAGCCCGGGGGGGAGAGGGGGGCATCTGGGAGGTAACAATCTAGGGAGGGGGCACAGCCCTTGTCTGGCAGAACCCAGCCCAGCAGGCCTGGGAGCGGGTCTGACTCCCCTGCAAAGCAGCATGAAGTCCAGAGCTGACAGCACCCCCACTGGCTCTCAGGAACCCCCAGTCCTGCCACGTAGGACCCCGGAGACCACTGCCAGTTAAGGAGCTCTGAGGGGTAGAAAGAGGAGTTGGACCAGACTTACACCCAGGGGGCCCCAAGAGCAGGCGCAGGGGCTGGAAGGAGGAGTGGACGTCTCTGGGTCAGCTTAAGGCCTCAGAGGTCAGTCTGCTGGGGGAGCCATGGGGTAAGAGGTCCCCTCTGGGTCTCAACTGTGGAGGGCCCGCCGGCAGGCAGAGGGGCCTGTCTGGGTGGTGTCTGGGTAGGGCACGGATCGGCCCTAAGGGGCAGGGGCCGTGTGTGGGGCTGGGAGGCTCCATGCCCAGTGGGTGCCAACGCCAGGGTCTCTCACCAGAGGGCCAGCCTGGCCCTGGGGTAGTCCAGCCGCTCCAGCGCGCCCAGGTAGTGGGGCAGTGAGTGCTCGGCATTGCGGGCCAGGACAGCCAGGACCACGGCGGGCGGCGGGGGCTCGGCGACGCCCGCTGCCAGGAGCCGCGGCCCCAGCAGGAGCAGCAGCTGGAGCAGCGGGGCGGCGGGGGCTGCGCGCATGGCGGGCGCTGGGGCGGCGGCCCCCGGGGCTCCCCAGCCCGCGGAGGGGAGGGGGCGGGGCGGCGCGGCCGGGCGGGGCGGGGCAAGGGCGGGGCCGAGGAGGCCCGGAGCGGGGTGGGGGGAGCGTGCCCCCCAAGGCGTGGGCTCTCACGCCCCATCCCTAGACTGGGGTTCTCCTGCGTCCTCTCCCGGGCCAGGGGCGCCTGAGGGCTGGGGCGCGGCGACCCGCCCCAGCCCTGACCCCGGAGCAAGCCCCTCGGGCTGACGGCCGGCGGAGGGAACGGAGGGGGGCTCTGGGGCGACGGCATCCGAGCCGACCCGGCAGCTGGAATCCGACGCCGATGCCTGGGCGTGCGCCACCGGGAACCCCGCCTCGTGCAGCGCCCGGCGCCCCTGGATCCGGACTCCCCGGCCCTGCGCCCGACTCTCGGGCCTTCGCCGCCCACCCTGCGGGGCGGGACCACGCGGCGGCTGCCTGGCCCGACCCCCCTCTGCGCCCCGGGGCGCCCTCTGGCGGCCCCAGACGGGACTTCGCAGGCTCGCGGGCGGCTCCAGGGCCGAAACCGGAGCCGGGGGAGGGGCGGGCTGGGGGCGTCCCTGACCTGCGCGCGCCGTCCCGCCGCAGAGGAGCCCGCCGTCCCCGCGCGTCCCGGTCCCCGTCGCCAGCACCGGCACCGCTCCGGCCCTTTAAGAGAGCGAACAGCACTTTTAGAATGAGTGTAGAGCTGGGGCGCACCACCGAGTCCCTCAAGGTGACCCAGACCCCCCTCCAAAGTCGGGGTTCAGCCCCCCTGGAGCAGAGAGGGAGTCCTGAAGCCTCTGTTGAGGCGCAGAGGGGTCTTCAACCTCTCTGAGGCCCAGAGCAGGGTGGGGGGAGCGTACCCCCCAAGGCGTGGGCTGCTGCTCCCCTCTCTGAGGGGAGCCATGAAAGGAGAGGGACCTGGAGGCAGCATAGGTTCCAGCTTGGCTGGCATCTGCCACACTTTCAGACAGCCCGGCCCCCCCGCCCCCCCCCGCCCTCCCGCCCCCCCCGCCCCCTGCCGTGCCTCGCAAGCTCCTGGAGAGAACGAAAGCAGGGACCCTTCCCAGCACCCCAGCACCGAGGCTGCCAGTCAGGCGGGGAGAAGACGGTGTCCATCTCCTACCCGCTGGGAGCTGACTTCTCTGGCAACTTCGGGCCCCCTTCAGCCTCTGCCCAGCCTGTGACCACTGTCTCCAATGAGAGGGCAGCCCGGGGGGCCCCGCAAGGAATGGACTTGCCTAGTGACGGAGCAGCATGGGGGCTCACCCGGCCCGGGATCCTGGTTTCCAGCCAGGCTCCAAAGCTTCCCCCAGGACCTCACGGCTTCCACATGGAGTGGTTTCCTGGCCAGTGGCCCTGCAACGGGAAATCCCACATTAGAGTGTTTGGGGGAGACAAGAGCCCCATCCTGGACATGGTACATCTGGCTGCAAGGCACTCCCACCCCAGGGGAGGGATTCCCTCCCTAAAGCAATGTCGCCCACCCCACCCCTCCATCCAGAGCTTCTGCCCATCCTGTCCCCCCATCCTATCCACCATGGGGACTTCCAGATGCTTCCCTTTGTCTCCTCTTCCTCCTCCTCCTATGACCCCTCCCATCTTCACCTCCCTCCCCCACCCTGTCACTGACTCCTAGCGCCAGCTTCTCCCTTCACCCAGACATGGAAAGACCCTATAAAGGATTGGGGTCAGGCTGGGGCTTCTGCAAGCTCATGGTCCCCACCCTGCATTGGATGCTCCCCAGCCCTGTGCTCCTCCCTCTCCTCACAAGCTGCGGCCTTCTGAAGCTCACTCTGCCCCTCCCCTGGTGAGGACCCCTCTTTAGCTTCATAGAGAAAAAAGAAACCATCGCCTGGGAGTTCTCACTTCCAGCCTCCAGACCTCTCCCCTGCAACTGAAGAGGCAACCTCTCTAGGGGACCACCCTGGGCTCCAAAACCCACCCCCCTGCCCTTCTGCATTGCCAACCTCCCTGTCTTCTGGACCCTCCCCTCGACATGCCAAAGAACTTATGTTCCCCCAACTTAGAATACAAAAACTCGGCCTCCCCGGCACCTCCAGCCCCAGCTGCAGCCCCATTGGTCTCTCTCTCCAAACCTGCCGAGGGGTCTGTGCTCTGCCCGCCTGGCTGCTCACCTCCGGTCATGGTCTGACACACGCCAAGGCTGCTCCGGCCAAGCTGCTCCAGCCAAGACCAGTCCTCTTGGCCACTCCCCACAAGGCCACTTCCTCCCTATCCCAGCGGGCTCTCTTCTGTAGCTGACCGTGTGGAGCACGCCCTCCTTCTAGAAAACAGACGTGTGTCTCAGCTGCCCACCTGGACCCAAATTCCATCTGTCCAAAATAGATCCTCACCTCCCCCACCAAAGTGGCCTCCCATCTCTAGGAGATGGCACTCTAGGTCCCCGCTCTGGGAGAGGGCACCCCTGCCCACCCAGCACCTCACGCTGGAGACCTGGGTGTCACCAATGACCAGTCCCTCTCCTGGGCATTCCATCAGCTCATCCTGGCAAGACCACTCTGGCGCCTCCCCCACCTGGCCACCTCCATCTGCCACTTGCCTGGCCCAGTGTACCCCCCAGATGCCCGTCCCCAGACCTTTCTCCCTGGAATCCCATCTGCACTCAGCAGGCCTTTCTAAAATGCCAGACATTAATGCTTTGGGGGCTGCCCATTGCCCTGGGCATAGCATTGAAAGCCCTCTAGGAGCGAGGCAGTGCTACTGGTCCTGCCTGAGGCTTCTCCAGCTGCTCTGACCTCCCCCATCTCCTATTGCAGCCAAACTGGACAACATACAGTTTCCAGAACATTCCACGCTTTAGGACTTTTCCACATCTTTTTTTATTGGTTGTTGTTCCTCTGCTTGAGCTAGTCTTTCTCTTCCTGGCCAACTCCTCCAGGAGCGGCTTAAACTTCCTTCCTCTAGAAGGCCTTCCCCGTGTCACGTCTGGGAGACACACCCCTGTCAGGCATCCTGGATAAGCCCAGTTGTTCAGCAAATACATTCTGCGCATAAGCCATGCACCAGGCATGCTTTAGGGCGTGCACTCTGGTGAGGGAAGTCAGGGAGGAAGCAGGCAAACAGACAGATGAACAGGTAGTTCAAAGAACAGAAAACGCGATGAAGGGGTCTCCCCGGTGGCACAGCGGTTGAGCGCTGGGTTACGAAGCTGCCCGCAGCCTCTGCGGTGCCGGTTCGATCCCCGGCTGCTCCCTGGCCACCTGAGGAGGGTCCCACATGGCGCACGGACCTCTCCTGCCGCCCGCTGCTCCCCTCAGCAGTGTACTTCGGTCCTTCTGCATGCTCTGCTCCCCGCTCTGGCTCTGGTGAATTCTCTCACCCTCCCGCGCTTCTGACTGTACCCAGTGCATGTGTAAACAGAACAAACAAACAAAACAAATAAATAAAGAAATAAACATGCCTCTATAAAAAAAAAAAAATATATATATATATAAAAAAAAGAAAAAAGAAAACGCGATGAAGGTGTGAAGCAAGTCTGTGAGAAAGGCTGTAGGGGCGAATGGGAGGCAACATGGAGTGGAGGGGTCAGGGATGGCACTTTAAAGCAAACGGAACGGGCAAGAACGTTCCAGATGGAGGGTACAGACAGGGACGACATCCTGCAGCTGCAGCGAGAATAAGCTGGGATGCCAGAGTGGTTGGAGGGAAGTGAGCAAGGGCAGTGGGTGAGAGGTGGAGGCTACCGAGGGCCTGGAAACCACAGCAGGACTTGGGGGGTTTTATCTACAACAGGAAGACTGTGGGGCAGTGACCTGCTTTGTCTTAAAAAGATGGTTCTGGGGCCTCCCTGGTGGCGCAGCGGTTGAGCGCTGGGCTGCGAAGCTGCCTGCAGCCTTGGGCAGCCTCAGCAGTGCCTGTTCGATCCCACATGGCGCGCAGGCCTCTCCTGCCGCCCGCTGCTCCCCTCAGCAGTGTACTTCATCAGTCTGCCTGTTCTGTTCCCCGCTCTGGCTCTGGTGAATCCTCTCACCCTCCCGCGCTTCTGACTATACCCAGTGCTTGTATAAATAAATAAATAAATCTTTAAAAAAAAAAAAAAAAGATTAAAAAGGGTTCTGGTAGCAGCTCGGGGGCGGCGGCCGAGGGGACAAGGATGGAAGGCAAGCAGAGCCGCATGATGAAGCCAGGACTGGGTGAGGGAGACAGTGAGGGCCAGAAGGCTGCCTGGGCTGGCACCGGCGGGCTGGCTCCTGGGCGGGAAGACCCAAGCAGGCCCCGGTGGAGTGTGAAATAGGGGTCTGCATCGCACCTTACTTTGAGCTGCCTTTAGACTCCAGGTACAAAGAGAACAGGCTGGGAGTACCGAGGTCAGGACCCGTCTGCCTCATTCCCATTTTACCCACAGCCCCCGTGCATAGCCAGAGGGCAGGGCGGGCTCTCAATGGGAAGGCGCTGGAGTCGGTGACGTGGGCTCACCGAGTACCTGTACTCAATTGCTTGCCCCCAAGGAAAAATTGGGCCAAATTCACAAACATTCTAGATCAGTGGTTCTCAAAGCGTGGTCCCTGGACCAGCGGCCAGGGCTTGTCTGGACGTTGTTTGCCATGCAAATGACTAGTCCCCTTCCCATCCCTATTGAATCAAACCCTGGGAGCTGAGCCAAGCACGTTTTCAACAGGCTGGAGATTTTGATGCCCTTCTATGGGGCCTGAGGTCTCACTCTCCGGGCCACGTAGTTTGGGTGCCTGGGAGTAATGTTGGTTTGGGCGCATGTGGCTGAGCCAGAACCAGACCACACTGAACCAGCTCCTAGCTGCGCTCTGGACTTCCCCACCTGCACCCTCCTCGCTGTGCTCAGCTCGCAGCCGCTGTAATCCCGGCCACCGCCAGGCAGTGGCGCCAGTTCCTCAGGCTTCCCTCTGGCGTCTGGAAATAGCGACCCTGGCAAGGCCCCCTGGCCAGTGCCTCCTTCCCACTGGGAACCGAGGCTCCCAGGCCTTTCTACTGGCAAAGGTGAGACAGCATGACCTTCATTAGGGAGAGGGGCGCTGAGGCTGGCACACCCAAGGTGGGGCAACCCCTTCTACCTGTAGGTTAGGAAGGTGAGTTAGAGGAGCGCCCTCAGAGAATGTCTGGCCTGTGGGACTTGGGAGTCAGGCAGGGGTCTCTGGCCCAGAAGACAGACCACACACCCATTAACCCTTTGCCTACCATGCCCACCCTCATTTGCGGTCTCAGGTGGTGCTTTCTGCCAATGGGTGGGGTGACTTGGAGGTACCCCAGAGCCAGGCAGAGCTCTAGGGTTGGGGGTCTTCATAGCCTGGCAACCAAACAGGGGGAAACAGGGGAGGGGGCACGGCGGAGAGGATGCTTGGATGGAGCTCTTACCAGCTGCCAGCTTCACATCTGGTGGGTTGGGGGCTCTCTGGGCCCGTCCTGCTCTGTGGTCAGGGTGCCCAGGATCCTGGCCAGAGGATGAGCCCTGCCCCGCTCCTGGTCCCGGGAGCCGCGCGGCAGAGAGGCGTCCAGGAGCCCAGTCCAGGCTCTCTCCCACCTCAGCTTAAAGCTGGTTTCCAAGAGGACCGGGGGCTGAGTGCGGATTCCCTGCGGGTTCCCTCCTGCTGCCCCACCCTCCTCTTTCTTATTTGAGGGTAGCCTGAGACCCCCAAATTCTGGCCGGAGTTACCCTGCCCATCCCGTTTAGACCTAGCTTACCTTGGCTCCAAGAATCTGCTCGGTCCTGCTCATCTCTAGGGCTCCCACCCAAAGCCCACACCCCCTCCGAATCCCCACCCTCCCCCCCAGGCCCTGTCCTGCTCTCCCAGAACCCCAGATGTGGTGCAGTGCAGTCTTCCTCTGAGGCTCTGCCTGTCCTCAGGAGGCTGGGGCCAGGCCAGCTGTTCCCCCTCCGTGCAGCCAGCTGTTTTGCCCATCAGGAAGCAGCCCAAGATCCTCTGCTAAAATCGTTCCTGCTGCTGCAGCGTGGCAGCCCCGCTGGGCCAGGGCCTAGGAGCTGTTAACTCCTCTGGGCCCAGGCAGCCCCTTCCCCTCCCTGCTTCTTCCCTCACCTTCCCCTGACCCGCAGATGTAGGCTGTCCCCAGGTTCTAGGGACCCCAAGAACACCAAGCATTGCTGTCCCCAGCCCTCTCCACTACTGTCACCTGCACCCTCCACAGAGCCTCGTCCTCAGGTGACCACAGGGGAGACTCGAAGAACAAGGGTAAGAGTTGCCCATTCACAAGACTGACCCTACTCTGTCTGCTGGTGGGTGTGCCGTGCCCAGTGCTGGGCGCTTCTGCATGATTCCCTAACTGGATCTGCACAGCAATCCAGGGAAGGAAAAATATTTCACTTTACAGATGAGGAAGCTGAGGCACGGCAAGGCTAAGGCGCGCGCCGAAGCCCATTCAGAGCTGGAGTTTGAACAGGCTGGGCCTCCCTGGGAGTGTTTTCCCAGCTGGGAAAAAG